ATTGGTCAAAGTATTGTATTTTTTAAAATTACACTAATAAAAATTCTATCACTTGATTTGTCATATCTATCAATTTATTTTTCAAACACAGTTAAACATTAACAAGACCTACCCACTCATGACAAGACTGTCATCAAACAAGTAGACCTTCATGTGCTGGACCCCCACTGTCTCATCCACTTTGGGGGGTAGGTACTTCTTCAGGTAACCGCTGAGGTCGGGGGTGTGGTACAGATACACCTGGACTGTTCCATTGTACCGCTCCAATAGGGGTGTCAGCATGGTCCGGGAGGACTCCTCTCCCCCTCGGGACCCCCTGTTGTAGTCCAACAAAATGTGGACCTCAAAGTCCCTGTTCTTAGAATCTTTAGCCCTCTCACAAGCATATTCTATTGCATTGACCTATGTAACAAAACAATACTAAAATGAAATTTCCGTACACTTCTCTTTCCAAATAAATTCTTAATAAGATCCAGATATGTATACAGTATTTTCTTCCACAAGAAATCAGAAAAGTTATTCAAATTATACAGTTCAGTCATGTTTAAAACTAACTTTTACAGACATATTGTGCAATATAGCTTTTAACCAAGCTAATATAGCCCTCTTACCAATTCTTCTTCTAGATGGCCAGTTCCTAAATACAGAGAGGCAATCACTATCCTTTTCTTGGCACCCCTAACATTTTTCTGCACAAATAAAAAAAAACATTTTTGTGATTTGCTCTTTTTTCTTTTAAATGTTTTTAAAGTTAATACAAATTTTAATCAACAATATGGCATTTTATGTACAGTGGAGCCTCTTAACCCAGACACCAATAATCTGGATGCTATATCTTCAATACAAAATTTGTGAGAAACAAATGATATTTATAAATTCCAGATATATTCAAGTAATCTGGACACTTCATTTATCCAGAAAATTTGCCCAGGATTGCAATCGAAATGAGACTCCACTGTATTGATTTAATAGTAAAAATATATTGTTGGTACACAAAAACAAATGAAAAATTCATATTTGCTAAGAACCAACTTTGAAATAGAAATTAAAAAAAAAGGAAAAAGAGAGAATATTATTCTGTATTATTTCATAGTTTACCTTCTGACAAGTGAATTAATTATTTATACCTTAAGTGTTTGATAAAATTCATCTGGGGTACGCAGAATTTCCACGGAGCTTCCCTGGATACCAAAGCATGGCGAATAATCACTGACCCATGACAGGGTGTTACAGGAGAGTTCTGTGGGATAATTAGTCTCCTCCAACTTTGCAGCTGCTGTACCATAAGAAAGTAGCCTGAAAATAATTTTAAAAATTGCTGACATTCTTCTTTGTTTCATTATATTTTAAATTAAAATCAATTACATTCCCTCTAACTTCATATCAAAACATGTACCGGTAGTATCAATCAATCCTGTGCACTAGCTGCATTTTCCACAAAATGAGCAACTTCATAAAAAATTTACATATCAGGGTACATTTTTCCATAATAAGTACTATGGGTACTGTGAGAGGTACATATCAAATATACAATATTTAATAAAAAGTTTTACTGTAAATAGAAAAAAAAAATTAAATTTATAGTGAAGAATAGAGCCAGACTAGCTGGCTAGTTACCTTTTTTTATCATTGATCTATATATAATATATTATATAATATTATATAGTTACCTTTTTTATCATTGATCTATATATAATATATTATATAATATTATATAAACACTATCATGACTATGACCAATGCATAAAGGGTTACAGTTAGTTCAAGTTCAGTTTATTCTCCCAAACCAAAATATTGGTACATGGGATACAGTAAAACATATATACATTTTAAGCCAACTGGTCAGAGGTACAAAAAATATAATATATACAATACAAAATGTTACAAAATGAAGAAAAAATGAAAAAAGAGGGAGAAACAGACAATAAGTAACATATTAAGTAGGACAGGTAGCATCATAAATTTTTAGAATAAACATACATACTTTTTTCAGAATTTGTTTTACAAGTACATGAATCCATGCAACTAAGATTAAATTAATTGTACTAGAGTTAATTTCAAAATTTTGTAAGATTTTTGCTCTTAATAGTGATTATTAATTAAAACTTATTTTAAACATATCAATATCAAGGAATAATGAGAAATTATTACAGGTTTGGTAAGTTATACATATACCATCCAATAAAAAAAAATAAACGCGATTTAAAGTTAAACTCGAGTTTAACTTTAAATAATTAAACTTCAAAAAATGATTTTTAAAAAAAAAAGATAAAAACCTTGATGCAATATTCCAAACATTTGTAAACATGATTTCCCAGCTATGAATCCTATGATGTTTCCTAATCAGATCTAAAAGACACAGTGACTTACTGAAAGGAAGAGAGAAAAAAATCTCTCTTTTTTGCCAGGGGGCAAAACTGTTGATATACCCAGGGCACATGTTAAAGTTAGCAAATCAGGAAGCTTTTTCTGACAATCCTTACTTACATAGACTGTTTGTGTTGGACTATGTTATGATCAATTAACATAATGGAGGTATATCCAAATTAATATATTGTGTATCATAAATAGTGAATCAGCTGAATATGTATTAAATGATAATTGCTATTGTATATTCTAAAACATATTGGATGTTGATTGCATGAGACTAAGTTTTCAACAAATATGGTTTATGGTCTAAAATTCAAATGATCATTTCAAAACTTTGATATTTAAAAAAATGTTTTTAGGCTACTTTAAATACAAGCTTGAATATCCATTTTTTTTAAAATTGATAATTAAATTTTAGGGCTCAGTGGGTATATGGAGATGGATTTTTTTTATTGCAATGTACTAGCTGCATTGTATAATGCAATTATTTTTTTTATCTATTAACCACTAATAAAATGCAGACATTGCAGAGTGAATATATAAGCTACATATATTCTAAATATGTTGCAGCAGAAAAGTTTGTGTTGATTTTGCTACAGTTTTGCAACAAAATGCAAATATACAAAAACAATCTGTTTAGCAGCTAGTATTAAATAGTCTAAAAATTTTAATTTGAATTCGTGTTTTATCTGAGAAATCCCATGCAATATTGCAATACAATACTTTCGGACTACAAATTGCAGTACATTGGAATATTATAATATGATGTAGCTCTGTTAAATTTTAATTATAATTTATAACTATAAAGGCTTAAATTACAGCCAATTAATACTTTTTATAAACCATACAGTATTCATTTGATTATCTCAATGAATTCAAAGTACTAACTTGTTGGTATTACATGTACATGTAATAGTAAATGTAATTTTAACATTTGTTTATCAGTGTTTACATAATTCAATGTGAGGCCCACTTCAAACAGGATCTTAACATAATTCATCCTGTAGTTTATAATTCCAAAATATTATGGAAGTTGTTCCTTATACCTGTTTATACATGTACATGGGTTAATAACCATTGTTACCATAACCTAATATTATTGTATAGTTAAAAAAAATAAAACAATAATGTAATAATGAAATTTGAAGACTTTTCCTAATGTCACTTTTCTTATGACAGAATGAGATATTTTATTATTATACAGTACATATACAAGTACAGTTTTCTTTTATTAACACACGACAGTAATGAAAAATTATCTCTCTTTTTTTTATTTTCAATTCCATAGAAATTTGAATGGTAATACAATATATATCCCTCAAGTCTCTGATTTTATCCTACACTATAAGTATAAGAATAAATGGAACTTAATATATCCTACGTAAAGTCTTAAAATGTGTTGACACAATTTTTGAGGAAAATATGAATAGTTTACATGAAAGAAGCTTGACAGAGGACATCTGGAATGACTTATCAGAAAAGGAATTATCCAGAAGCAAACTGTTTCAAAGAAGTAGGCCAATTATTAAAGCAACAATTGATTAATAAATAAAATACACAAGTTTGATTTCAAAATGGCTGAAATCAAGTTTGGTACATTGTGGTAAAAATAATAATTATAAGGGATGTCCTGTATTCAAAACATTTTATTTTCTTCTCAATGCAGAATTTGAGAAAGGAAAAACATTAAGGTGTCAGAAACTGCTTGCTAGCCAGTACATCTTCACAAATAATGATCTGTAATAAGTTTTAGTATTTGTCAGTAAAATTTATGCCTATTCTAGAAGATTCAAATCAGCTGTACTTCTCTTTTTTATATTTATAGAACTTTCTAGAGTGTGATTATTAACTAAACATGTTACAATCTACATTTTAATCAATCAGCACTTTCTCAGAAAAATGCATAAAAATTATCATGAAAAGCTATTCAAAACAAATATTTCAGTGATGTTCTACAAGCTACATAACCTACACAAATATATTTAACTGAACCTGGAGACTTCACATGCTTTATCACAATCACTCTAGCAATCATCAAAACATTGCCAAGCATACGGTTCATCAATGAAACAGCTTAAACAGGACAAGCAAACCTACTAGCATTACCTGATTCCACTTTGCAGTCCAAGAAATTTAAGCAGGCGACGACCAGTTCGCCAAGAACATCTTACTTTACACAACATAATTTATTTTGAAACAGCTGACTGCATGATAAAAATGATAAACTATGAATAACGAACCCGATCATAAATTTAGAAAAAGGCCAATTTGTGAAAAGGAACACAACAGATGGATCAATGACGTGAAAAATTGTCAGAAAAAAGTAGGACTTCTTTCATTTATCTATCAAATTTCTTTATAATTGTTTTTGATAACTTTACAGAAGAATAAACTTTACTACTATAGACATTGTGGCAGCATAAATAACATCGGGTTTGTAATTTTTTTTGTCAAATATTTTTTAATTTTTTTTTATAATAAAATCTCCAAAAATTCATAATGATTTAGTATTATATTGCCAAGGTACTGGATAAAGAACTTTTCCCCCACAGAAAACTGTTCGGCAAATTCCGTAATATTTACGTCAAATTCCGGGCACGTGTTTACGTAGCAACGTATGGAAACAGGCGACATTATTGCCATTGGTGACTCGTTGAACGCGCGGTAGGGTGAGATCCAATGTTCCTGTAGTTAGAAAAACTAAAGTAAAAGAAATATGGCTTCGGAACTCGAGCTAAATGATGCTCGGGTGGAGTTTATTGCTGACTATGTCATCAAAACTCTCAAGATTAAGCCCGACAAATGGACCAAGATGTACAGTTTGGAGGAGACGAAGCAAATGTATATGGACTTCTTTGAAAAGCAAGATATGCCATGTCTCATAGTAACTGCAACTGCGGCAGGTGGACTCAACACCCAGTTTGAATGGCCAAACAACCCTAAAGCTAAAGCTTGCTACTTTGTCAAGAAGGGAAGAGAAGCAATTACAAAGGATACAAATTTTAGAAATGCATATCTCTATGGTGACATGTCCTACCAGCCATTGGACCAGCTTTCAGCTTTTGTTGATGAAGTAAGTTTCAAGAATTTTGATATAATTTTATGTACTTTTATTGATTTTTACTTGAAGTAAACGTATACAATTATTTTATACACTTATGACACTGTGAAAGGTACATGCAGTGTCCTTGAATAAGTTTTTGCTGGCTTTTGTTCAAGTAATGACTCATGGTTTGATTTAGATTTATCTTAGGATTTTCCAAAAAGATCAAGGTGATATTTTTTTTTTAAATCCTGCCAGATTATTACTAAATGATAATACTGATCGATAATCAATTAAATATCTACGACAAGACCAAATGTTAGATTTATGCAGGTGCTTGCATAAAAGTGGCAGATTAACAAGGTCTTGGCATGAACCATGTTTTAAAAAGTATTAACTGAAGTCAGAGTTCTTGAAAACAATGTCAAGATTTAATTATAAAAAAAAATATTAGATATATATACCTAGTACATTTCCTCTCGTCTGAGGGATTCATCAACTTTACATTTAACCAATAAATGAAAAACACAATCACAGTTATAATTTTTCTTTTACTTTATTTTTCAGGTCTTGGTGCCACTTCTTTCCAATGATAGAAACCATGAACAGTGGCCCCATGTTGTCTCCAAAGATGTCACAAGACATGTCCACAACCTGAAGAGTAATGTATATGTTGTGTCCGGTCAGGCCAAGGGAAAGACCCTCCTCCCCCTCCCTGTGGGGGCCGAGAAAGTGGAACAGGTTGAAGATGACAAGTAAGTTAATGAACCTTTAACTATGACAGTAATTAGTAACATATTATGCAATATTGAGTAGGAATGACAGTACAAAAAATAATGTATGTACATGTAAATGTAAATCAGCATAATAGAAACAGAAGAGAAAGACGGTTACATTGTAGATTTATACCGATATATTTAATATTGAGTCATGTTTTTTTTTTTTTCAGGGACACTCTTGACAGAGCACTTATCCATGCTATTGAGTCTGTGATCATTGACTGGACACATCAGATCAGGGATGTTCTGAAAAAGGACTCAGCCCAGCCCCTGCTGGAGGGACACAATCCTACTCCCTTTGTGGAGATCGAGTTCTGGAAGAACAAAGCCACCAACTTGGAATGTATTTATGAACAGGTTTGTAAAGTTTGACGTTACTGGTCCCATTCCCCTCTCCGAACATACACAAAAAAATAGATTTGCTAAATGTTTATTTGATTTGTCATGGTTTTACAGAATTATTTCCATGTATTTTCAGCTCAGGGATCCCAAAGTTAGAAAGATGGCAGAGATCTTAGAGAGAACACAGAGCAGCTATTTCCCAACATTCAAGGACATCTTTAGAGATGTTGTGGCAGGTAAAGGCAGAGGAAATATGTACAGACTGCTGAATTGTTAATTTCGTAAAGAATTTCTATTTAAAAATAATTTTACTTACTCTGATTTCTTTGTAGCTCTGACTGAGGCACAAGACATCAACATTTACCTGAAGCCCCTGCGTCATCACTTTGAGGATTATGAGCAGGCAGAATTTGATGAGAGCATCCCTATGCTTGCCCCAATGATGCACACCGTCTGTTTGACCTGGGCCAACTCCGAATATTACAACACACCAGCTCGCATCATTGTTCTTCTGCAGGAAATGTGCAACATGATCATCAACATGGTAGGAAACATTGATTTTCAAAATATAAGCAATTTCTGCATACCAACTTACATCTGAATGATTAGCCAAAAAAGCAAGGTAAGTTGTCTTAAAAATGTCTTTTTACCCTTACAATGTATTTTTAAATAGGCCAGAAACTTCCTTGATCCATCTGAGATCTTCAAAGGAGAAATCGAAGAGACTATTGAGAAAGTCAGGAAGGCTTGCAACGTCCTTGATGCCTACAAAAACACCTATGAGGACCACAAAGAAAGACTAAAGAGCTACTTCCCAGAGGGAACAGAACCCAGACTGTGGGAGTTTGCCCCCAAACTGGTGTTTGCTCGCTTTGACAAGTTCATGGAGCGAGTAAAGACAGTCAGAGTATGTTCAGATTTAAATTTTCTTGCAAAAATTGATGATTTTTTTCTCATAAGTTTTTCTTTTATATATAAGTTGTTTTCACTATAGTTGGATGTTTAAATTTATAGGAGCTGATGGAGACTGCCCTGGAGTTTATGAAACTAGAGAAAGTTGAGTTGGGAGGCATCAAAGGAAAACTTCTGAGTCAACAGGTGGTTCAGCTGCATGAAGAGTTTCAGGAACAATATGGAGTCTTCACCAACAAATCCTATGATTGTCTGGACCCCAGCAGCAATGTAACACATAGCTAATCTATAGTATTCTGGAATTGAGCATAATGTTTAATTAAATGAAACTTGCATGTTACATGACGTACGTTTCTTTTTACAGGAATTTTTGGATGACTATCAGATGTTTTTGGACAAGATCGGGGACTTTGACAGAAGACTTGCCACTATTATCTGTCAGGGATTTGATGACTGCTCAGGACTAGAATCTGTTTTCAAAGTAGGTGTCATGTTTGATAGGACTTGTATCCTCTTTTTTAATTAATGATGAGAATTGTATTTATATAAGAAAAATATAATGTATGGTCTTTTACAAAAAGAAAGTTTTTCTAACCTGTGTTGCAGCTGTTGGACATTATGGGTTCCTTGCTTGAAAGAGATCTGATCAAGAAAGACTTTGATGAGAAATATCCTCTCATTGTAAAATTGATGGATACAGAATTAGACACAGCCAAATTTATTTATGATGAACAAATGGCTCGCAAGAAAGAGACGGGCAAAGCATCTCTTCACAAGAACATGCCCAAAGTGTCTGGCAGTTTGAGATGGGCTCAAGAACTCAGAGAAAGGATTTCAGCCTCAATGGGAAACTTCAAGGCATTGGAACACAGGTACTGAACTGATTAGACTCTTACATATCTCCCTGGACTCAATATTTGGTTTTTGACAGAATTTGATTAGTGTTGATCAGTATTTGAAGATATATTTTCTCTTGTTTACAGGTGCATGGAAGAAGAAGCAGCTAAGTTGGTTTTTGTCAAATATGAAGAAATGTGTAACCTTCTAGGCCAGTAAGTACTTGTACATGGAAATTCGTGCTAGTTCTTTTGTATTGTAATGTTGATGTCTGAACAGTATGATGTTTTGCATACAAGATAGATGAATGATAATGCATGTCTTTACAGGTGGGATGAAGAAATTTACAAGGAATGGGAAGCCGGTGTAAGTGAAGCATGTTCATTCAACCTCAGTCAACCACTGGTTGTCCGAGACGAAGAAACCAAACTCATCAATGTGAACTTTGACCCACAACTGACGGCTGTCTTAAGGGAAGTCAAATACCTGGAAACCCGTAACCAGGAAGAGATTCCTCAGAGTGCGGCAGAAATGTACAAAAAGAATGACACACTGTGGAAGTACCTGACAAACTTAGATCTCACCGTCCATTTGTATAACAAGGTCAGAAATACAATCCTAGAGGTCGAGTTCCCACTCATTGAAGGTCAGCTACAGGACATTGATGTCCAGTTAGAGCAGGCTGAGAAATCCCTGAACTGGGAGAGCCAAGGAGTGTGGGACTATATTGAAAAAACAAGAGACCAAGTGATTGACCTTGAAAAGCGAGTTCAACAGGCCAAGGACAATGTCGAGGAAATTAAGATGTTGATGGCGACGTGGAGTAAACATCCTCTGTTTGAGAGGAAGGAGGACAAACACGATACTCTGCTGAATCTGGACGACAGGAAAGAACGACTCTCCAAACGATACGAAGATATCAAAAATATCGGCCAAAAAATCCATGCACTTTTACAAGTAAGAGGGAGTTTATAATATCTTGCAGTTGTGAATTTTCCTTTTTGTGCTTATTTACAATACACAGGTGTGTCAGAGAATAAAGGTATTGAAATTTTTGTTTTTTGTAGAAAAATTTAGAGTTATTCAAAGCAGATGGAAACACAGACACGTGGAAGGCCTATGTAGACTATGTAGATGAAATGATTGTAGATGGATTCTTTAACACAATTCACTGCAGTCTTAAATTCTTATTAGACCAAACAGACAGTAAAAATAATCCCACACCATTGTTTGAAGCTCAACTTGAGCTTCAGGTTCCAGAGATGGTGTTCATTCCTTCATTAGATTATGGAGTGGCAGACGGATTCTATGATTTAGTGGATGGTCTAGTAGGTGACATTTACAAACAAGCCTCTCTGATTGGTCGATTGGCTGCACATAGCGGTCAAGAGCACTACCAGCCAGACGCCGAGGATATGGAGGAGTTATCAGAAATGAGACAGGAGCTGATGGAGAGGATACAGAACATAATGAACAAGGCGTGTGAGTACAGGAACACGTTTGATAATTACTCGTATCTGTGGGTGGACGACAGGAACGAGTTCATGAGGCAGTTCCTGCTGTATAACCACGTCCTCACCACTGAGGAGATCGAGGCTCACGCTGAGGACGGAGTCCCAGAATGTCCTCCTACCCTTGACCAGTTCAAAGAACAGGTAACTACAAAACAAGTATAATCCATGCATGTTAGATGCTTCCTATTCTGAATATTTTACATGATTTGCTTCATCTTTTTCAATGGATTTTAATTCAGAAAGTTTTATATGATTTGCTTTGTAATTCTCTCAGATTAACACCTATGAGAAAATTTATGAGGATGCAGAAAAAGTGGAGCCTACCATGATCTTTGAGAACTGGTTCAGAGTAAACTCCAAACCATTTAAACAGGCTTTACTAAACACCATCAAACGCTGGAGTTTCATGTTCAAACAGCATCTGATCGACCATGTTACAAACAGGTATAATTTACCTCATAAATCAAACTTTCAATGAGCCGTTTCAAGATCTGTATTATAAAAAATTGATAATGAAAAATGTAATACACAAATACTTATTTTTCTTGTCAGCCATTCTGGTCTTTGATAACATGTTTACAATTATTTTAATGATGAGTTGTTGTCTGTTTTAGTCTGAAGGAGCTGGCAGAATTTATAAAGACAACAGACGCCGGCCTGATGAAGCCTGTAGAGGAGGGAGACTACAATGGCCTGGTCGAGTGTATGGGTTACTTGTTTGCCGTCAAGGACAGACAAGCCACCACAGATGAAATGTTTGAACCACTCAAACAGACCATAGAACTGTTGAAGACATATGAACAAGAACTCCCAGAGGAGGTTCACCAACAACTTCAGGTAAACAGAAAATCTATTTGGAGAAGAAATCTGGAGTTCTTAAAGATAGCAGTTAAATAATTTATAAGTGGCGAAAAGAAATTGAGAATTCTTGAAGATAGCAGTTGAATATATTTTTTTGGAATGTCGGATACTAAAATTCTTGAAATTTGCATCAACAGGAATTACCAGAGCAGTGGAACAATACAAAGAAGATAGCCATCACAGTCAAGCAACAAGTTGCTCCATTACAAGCAAATGAAGTTGCTAACATCAGAAGGAAGACAGCGTCCTTTGATGTTTCTCAACACAAGTTCAGGGAGAAGTTCCGCTCCATTCCTCCATTCAGATATGACTGTGATAAGCCATATGTACATCTTGACAAGGTAAAGTTATCCTTGCTTAACAGATCATTGTGATAAGTAATAAATATCTGTAAATCTTGTATGAATTGCCACATCAGTATTGTCACAAAGTAATACATATTGTTAAAATAAACAAAATTGTCATTACAGTACCATGAAGAAATTGCAGCCATGGAGAAAGAAATGGTAGAACTGATGGACTCCGCAGGTCTTTTTGAGGTAAACATTCCAGACTTCAAACAGCTCAAGCAGTGCAGAAAGGAGATAAAACTGCTGAAGACACTGTGGGACTACATCATCATGGTCCAGAGCAGCATTGATGACTGGAAGACCACCTTCTGGAAGGAGATTAATGTGGAGCAGATGGACATGGACTGTAAGAAGTTTGCTAAGGACATCCGAGGCCTGGACAAGGAGATGAGGGCCTGGGACTCCTATCTGGGTCTGGAGAACACAGTCAAGAACATGCTGACCTCCCTCAGGGCCGTCAGTGAGCTGCAGAACCCAGCCATCAGGGACCGCCATTGGCAGCAACTTATGGTGGCCACAAAGGTATGGCTAATTAAAACAAGAACAAAAGCATTGTTATAAATGTTAGATAATTTCTTGTACAATTTGTTTCTGTGTTGTTTTTTTCTAAGATAATTCATTGAGTGTTATTTTTCTTTTAGGTGCGCTTTGTTATGGATGAGAACACCACCCTGGCTGATCTGTTGTCTCTTAACCTGCACAACTTTGAGGATGATGTCCGAGGCATTGTGGACAAGGCCGTCAAGGAAATGAGCATGGAGAAGGTTCTTAAAGAGTTGGATACCACCTGGACCACCATGGAGTTTGAACATGAACCACATCCCAGAACAAAGGTCACAATGTTGAAGACAAGTGAAGAGTTGATTGAAACTCTTGAGGACAACCAGGTACATACGGAACAAAAAAAGATTCTTCCTGTGACAAATAAAGTGACTTGTTTCAAATTACCCATGCAATGCTTATAAAAACTTTGATTATGTTTTCCTCAGGTCCAACTACAAAACATGCTGTCCTCCAAGTACATTGCCCATTTCTTGCAAGAAGTTTCCACCTGGCAGAAGAAGCTGTCCACAGCTGACCAGGTCATCACCATCTGGATGGAGGTGCAGAGGACATGGTCTCATTTGGAGAGTATCTTTATTGGATCAGAAGATATCAGAAACCAGCTGCCAGAGGACTCCAAGAGATTCGATGGCATTGACACTGATTTCAAGGTAGGGGTTGTGAATTTCAGTTGTGTATAGTCTACAGTACAGTTTATAAAATATATAGTACAGTTTAGAAAATATTTTCATTTAATTGCTCTCATTTGATTTTATCAGGAACTTGTGTCGGAGATCGAGAAGTACAAGAATGTTGTGGAAGCTACAAACCAGCCAAACCTCTATGAGCGCTTGGAAAGTTTGCAGGACAATTTAACCTTGTGTGAAAAGGCTCTGGCTGAATACTTGGAGACCAAACGTCTGGCCTTCCCAAGATTTTACTTCGTGTCATCTGCAGATCTGCTTGACATCTTGTCCAACGGCAACAACCCAACAGCAGTATGTACAAGTTACCTCCCTTTAACCATATGAATTGATACTGCTTTCTTTGCTTAAGCAGTTCTATATGGCACAAATATCCTAACCCTATTGTTTGATTTCAGGTGTCCCGTCACTTGACTAAGCTGTTTGACAGCATGGCCAAGCTGAAGTTCACACAGGATGACAAGGGAAATGACACCAAGATTGCCACAGCTATGTACAGTAAGGATGGAGAAATGGTGGATCTGGACAAACCATGTGACTTGGCTGGACAGGTATGGTTTGAAAAAAAAACTTTTAATGATATCTACTCTACAGAGTAAAATATTTCTGATGGAAAGTTTAAAAATAAATTTCAAATTAAAAATACTAAAATTATAGGTAGAGCACTGGCTCAACAACCTGCTGGATGCCATGAGGAGTACAGTAAGGCACGAGATGACAGAGGCTGTAGCTACGTATGAAGAGAAGCCAAGAGACCAGTGGCTGTTTGACTTCCCCGCCCAGGTGGCGCTGTGTGGCACCCAGATCTGGTGGACAACAGAAGTCAACATTGCGTTTGGCAGACTTGAGGAGGGTTATGAAAATGCTCTGAAGGACTACAACAAGAAACAGATTCAGCAGCTGAACAACCTGATTACCCTCCTGCTTGGTAAACTGTCGTCTGGAGACCGACAGAAGATCATGACCATCTGTACCATTGATGTGCACGCTCGAGACGTGGTGGCCAAATTGATCACCACCAAGGTAGACAACTCTCAGGCCTTTGCCTGGCTGTCCCAGCTCAGACACAGGTGGGACGACAATGAGAAGGACTGCTTCGCCAACATCTGTGATGCTCAGTTCCGTTACTCACACGAGTACCTGGGTAACACACCACGTCTGGTCATTACTCCTCTCACTGACAGGTTTGTATCTCACTGTCTAGTTGTCAATAATTCTACCTGTTATTTGTAAATTAAAAGTTTGTATTATTTGGGAAAGAAGATTTATTTATGAGTGATATCCCTCAGTGTGTATCCTACAATGCCTTAGTTTAATGTCAATGGTAGCTAATTATGCTATAAAATAAGAGAAAAGTTTAAGAGCAAAAGGTTTTGGAGAGTGATCTACATTCTTTCAAAAATAATAGTAAGATATTTCTGTAATTTGTTTTCTCCAGATGTTACATTACACTGACACAGTCCCTCCACTTGATCATGAGTGGTGCACCAGCCGGCCCTGCTGGAACTGGTAAAACTGAGACCACCAAGGATTTGGGACGTGCTCTGGGTATCATGGTGTACGTGTTCAATTGCTCCGAGCAGATGGACTACAAATCCATTGGTAACATCTACAAGGGACTGGCCCAGTCCGGAGCCTGGGGGTGCTTTGACGAGTTTAACCGTATTGCTGTAGAAGTGTTGTCTGTGGTGGCCGTGCAGGTCAAGTGTATTCAGGATGCCATCAAGGAGAAGAAGAAGACATTCAACTTCCTGGGAGAAACCATCAAGCTGGTCCCCACTGTAGGTCTCTTCATTACAATGAACCCTGGTTATGCTGGGCGTACTGAGCTGCCAGAAAACCTTAAGGCTCTCTTCAGGTATACACTGCAGGATGTTGTTTTATTTTAAAATAACAATTTTCATATTTTATATGTTATATGAAGCATAACATTCAATTAAATAAGTTTGTTGATGCATGTAACTTCAAGACTCATTTTGCTTGTCTCTGATACTCAATGAAATCTCCATTTTCAGACCTTGTGCTATGGTGGTACCAGACTTTGAGCTGATTTGTGAAATCATGTTGGTGGCTGAAGGCTTCTTGGAAGCCAGGCTGCTGGCCAGAAAGTTCATCACCCTGTACAGTCTGTGTAAGGAACTGCTCTCCAAACAGGTAAGGCCACATAATGAAGGAACTGAAATCTTTTTTATTGATAAGATTTTATGATAGATTTAGTTGATGTGACTTTTGACTTGCTTTGTAGGACCACTATGATTGGGGTCTGCGTGCCATCAAGTCTGTGTTGGTGGTGGCCGGTGCCCTCAAGAGAGGTGACCCAGACCGTCCCGAGGACCAGGTCAGATTCTGTTACCACTTTCTCATTTAACAGCTTGCCATTCAGTCCTGTTTTACATTACTTGTTAACACTGTTTGTCCTCTTTAGGTATTGATGAGAGCTCTGAGAGATTTCAACATCCCCAAGATTGTTATTGACGACTTGCCCATCTTCATGGGTCTGATCTCCGATCTGTTCCCCGCCCTCAATGTGCCCCGTAAGAGAGACCCAGAGCTGGAGAAACAAATCAAACAAGCCACACTGGACCAGAAACTACAGCCAGAGGACAACTTCATCCTTAAGGTGAAGATCTTGTTAAAGGATCCTCTTGAAATATTTCTCTATTGTTTTATAAACTTTATAATTAAAGTTTAACACTGAACATTTTTCGAGCACCCTATCTTTGTATTATAGATTGTGCAGCTACAGGAGTTGTTGGATGTACGTCACTCTGTCTTTGTCTTGGGATTGGCTGGTGTCGGAAAGAGTAAAGTGTGGGGAACCCTGAACAGGACCTACAAAAACCAGGGAAAGAAGCCTTCTGCTGTAGATCTTGATCCCAAAGCTGTAACAAACAATGAATTGTTCGGTATCATCAATCCAGCAACCAGAGAGTGGAAGGATGGTAAGGCATAATAGATTATGGTTTAAAGATCAATATGGTTACCACTGATAGCGGTTCACATGTTGTCATTCTCTTCCTTACTCTAATTTCAAACTTATACTTAATATTTGCCTTGTTGGTTACAGGTCTGTTCTCTGTAATTATGCGTGACTTGGCTAACATGTCTGGTGATGGCCCTAAGTGGATCGTACTGGACGGAGATATTGATCCTATGTGGATTGAGTCTCTGAATACTGTCATGGACGACAACAAGGTGCTGACACTGGCCAGTAACGAGCGAATCCCACTCACTCCATCCATGAGACTACTCTTTGAGATCAGTCATCTGAGGACGGCCACCCCAGCTACAGTGTCCAGGGCAGGAATCCTGTTCATCAACCCTCAGGATCTGGGATGGATCCCGTAAGACATTAACTTATTTCATCCTTTTATTACCTGGTAGCTACAAAGTCAGACTATTAAGACTTTCCTTTTCTGTTTTGATAAGAAAGGCATGTTAGGGCAACTTTTTCTGAGGCCAAGAATGCCAAATTTACAATGATATTGATGTTCTGAAGGTCAATCACATGAGCCAATCTAAATGTTTCAGATACACCCAGAGTTGGATTGACAAGCGTGAAGTCCAGTCAGAGAGAGCCAATCTAACCATCCTGTTTGACAAGTATGTCCCAATGTGTCTGGAGACAATGCGAACTCGGTTCAAGAAGATCACCCCCGTAGCAGACAACAGCCACATCCAGATGTTATGTTACCTCCTGGAGTGTCTGCTGACCCCCGAAAACACACCCCCAGACTGCGCCAAGGAGCTGTATGAGCTGTACTTTGTCTTTGCCATTGTCTGGGCCTTTGGTGGAGTCACTTTCCAGGATCAGGTTTGTAGCGTACGAACATCTTTTTTCTATATATTTTCGGAAATCAAGGATTATACACTTACCAATGGATAATTTGTTTAATTGAAACTGTGATTCTATTTTGAAAAAAAAGGCCCAATTTTTTTCTTGAGAAATGAAAATTTTGACCATGTTATTCTGTATTTACAGCTGGTAGATTACAGAGTGGAATTCACCAAATGGTGGACCACTGAGTTTAAGACAGTGAAGTTCCCTACCACTGGAACTGTGTTTGATTACTACATCGATCCAGAAACCAAGAAGTTTGAGCCCTGGACTAAACTGGTGCCCAAATTTGAACTGGACCCTGAGCTTCCTCTACAGGTTTGGCTCTTTTTCAATGGTCATTCATTGTCTAGTAAAGTTAGCTCACCTATAATGAATTCAAAATCTTATCTGTGAAAGATAATTCTAAGTAAGAATTTTTTAATACATCCATTTTGTTTTCAGGCTGCTTTGGTGCACACCTCTGAGACAACAAGAGTGAAGTATTTCCTGGACATGTTGATTGACAAGCGTCGCCCAGTCATGTTGGTGGGTAACGCTGGTACAGGAAAGACCGTACTCATGGGAGACAAGATGAATGGTCTGTCTGAGGACTTCATGGTGGCCAACATCCCCTTCAACTTCTACACCACATCCGAGATGTTACAGAGAACTCTGGAGAAACCACTGGAGAAGAAAGCTGGTCGTAACTTTGGACCTCCTGGTACCAGACGTCTGATCTACTTTGTGGATGACATGAACATGCCAGAGGTAAAACATATCATTAGTTAACTTTCCCATTTAGCAATAATTTTGGTTGACTATCTTTAAAGCATGCTAGCATCCTCAGTTAATCCTGAAATAAAGTCGTCGCGAATAAAAGTTGGTTTACAGTATTGTTCTTTACTAGAACGACTTGCAATTTGAAAGAACTATATGCGGTATTAACCAACATTTGCCCCCCAAAATCAAACTTTGACGGAGTAATATTTAATTAAGTCCTTAAACAGCGGAGTATATGCTGACTTCAAAGCACTGAATAATTTCATAAGTAATGACGTCATTTTTTTATAGAAAGACATGCAGTTTGAGTTTTAATAGGTATTATGTGTATTTGAAGAACCTGACCTAACATGTATTCTTCAGAAGGTTGAAGACTATGATGTTTTTCTTTGCTAGGTTGACAAGTACTTCACTGTGCAGCCCCACACCTTGATCAGACAACACATTGATCACAGCCATTGGTATGACAGAAACAAGCTGACTCTGAAGGAAATCCACAACACACAATACGTGGCCTGCATGAACCCCACGGCTGGTAGCTTCACCATCGACTCCAGATTACAGGTCAGTGTCAAAGTTTACAGCAGCTTACTTAACTAGCTGTATTCCTTGCAATGAAAATGTACATCAGCAGGGTTTTAGTACATTATTTTGTATTTGTTCTACTGAGATTTATATTCAGCTGCCTTTGGTGTAGTTGCTAGTATGTTAATTTATGATTGAGGTAGTTTATATTTTTAGCCAAAGATCAGCAAAATGTTTACTTTCAACTATTTTACTACTTTTATTCAAAAGACATCTATTTTTCTTACAGCGTCACTTCTGTGTATTCTCCATTAACTTCCCCAACAATGAGGCCCTGGCCACCATTTACACCAGCATTCTGCAGCAGCATCTAGCCATGAATGGATTTGCCCAGGCTGTGCAGAAATTCTGCCCAACCCTCATTGCAGGAGCCCTGGCTCTCCAGTCCAAGATGGCATCCACTTTCCTGCCCACTGCCATCAAGTTCCACTACATCTTCAACCTCCGAGATATGTCCAACATTTTCCAGGTACTGTTCTATGTATTCTGACATCCATCTTTTCCTTTATTTCTCTCCATAAAATAAGCAGTGATTGGAATTTTCAACTTTATATTGGATATCCTGTTTTTGTTCTTTGTGTGTAAAACTTAACAAGTTTTTTATGCATTTGCTATTTTTCCTTTGATATCAGGGTCTGCTGTTTGCCCTGCCAGAGTGTGCCAAAACTCCAGTGGAGTTGACTAGACTGTGGTTACATGAAGCGGAGAGAGTGTACAGAGACAAACTCACCGACGAAAAAGACATGGAGACATTTGATAAGATGGTCAAGGATGTATTCAAGAAGTCCTTTGAGGTAACCCTTTTTGTCCCTCAATACATATCTTAATTCAAATTATGTCTCAAATTTCCATGCAAATAAGGGAAACTAAATCTTTGAATGTCCTTTCTCAGGATCTGGATGAAGCAATTGTCTTCAAGCGCCCACTGCTGTACTGCCACTTTGCCCAGGGAGTTGGCGATCCCAAATACAATCCAGTGGAAGGATGGCCAGAGTTAAACAAGATCTTAGTGGAAGCACTAGACAATTACAATGAACTGAATGCTGTCATGAACTTAGTGCTGTTTGAGGACGCCATGATGCATGTGTGCCGAATCAACCGTATCCTTGAATCCCCACGAGGTAACGCTCTACTGATCGGTGTGGGAGGTTCTGGTAAACAGAGCTTGTCCCGATTGGCTGCTTCCATCAGCAGCTTGGAGGTGTTCCAGATCACCCTCAGGAAAGGTTACTCGATCGCTGATCTGAAATTAGACATTTCTCAGCTGTACATTAAGACTGGTCTGAAAAATATGGGCATGATGTTTTTGATGACTGATGCCCAGGTGGCTGACGAGAAGTTCCTTGTTCTGATTAACGATTTACTGGCTTCTGGAGAAATCCCAGATCTCTTCCCAGATGATGAAATTGAGAACATCATTAACGGAACTCGTAACGAGGTGAAAGGTCTGGGAATGGAGGACAGCAGAGAGAACTGCTGGAGATTTTTCATTGACAAAGTCCGCAGGACGCTAAAGGTGAGAGATGTTGATGTTGGCCTTTCACTGCTTCCTACAAATCTCTTACTTAACCTCATACTCTGATTTTACTACAAATTACTTGTTTAACAACAATATTGAAGACAAATTATTTTTCCAGCTTTGCACTGAATCCCCCCTTATTATTCATATTTCTTTACGATAGGTTGTTCTTTGCTTCTCCCCTGTTGGTTCCACCCTTCGTGTCAGAAGCAGAAAGTTCCCCGCTGTTACAAACTGTACCAGTATTGACTGGTTCCATGAGTGGCCAGAAGATGCTTTGGTTTCTGTATCTGGTCGCTTCTTAGAGGAGGTGGAGCTGCTGGCGGTAAGTCTTGCATGCTGAAAATTTTAATTTTATTTGCAGATTGGCAGATTTTTTTTTGATGAAAAAATTTCAAAGTTATTAACCACAAAAAATCATGATATTTAGATTTCTTAAAGACAGAGACTAAACGACATTTTATATTCAAAAGTACATGTACATAATTGAAAAAGTACTGATATAATTTTGGGGGGGGGAATGATTATGAGCACTTTTGAAATTTAATACCCAATGCTATTTGATACTTAATGTCAGATTTTATACATTTTATTTTACAGCCTGATATGAGAGGCTCGATTGCCACGTTCATGTCCTTTGTCCACAAGTCTGTGAATGAGATGAGTAAAGCCTACCTAAGTAATGAAAGGAGGTACAACTACACCACCCCCAAGAGTTTCCTGGAACAGATCAAGCTTTACCAGAATCTGCTGAACAAGAACAACACAGATCTGCAGGCCAAGATTGTCCGTCTGGAGAATGGTCTGGAAAAACTCCGCAGCACTGCTACTCAGGTCAGTGTTAATTAAAAAAAAAAGGGGTAGATTTTTAGACTTTATGGAGAAATTAAAAAAAAATTTTTGCTTGTAAGGAAATTGAAACATTAAAAAAGATACATAGCAAATAAATGTTGTTCCTTAATCTTCACAGGTAGATGATTTGAAATCCAAGCTGGCCTCACAAGAGGTGGAGCTGGCCCAGAAGAATGAGGATGCCAACAAACTGATTGCCATCGTCGGAGCTGAAACTGAGAAGGTGTCTAAAGAGAAAGCTATAGCTGACGAAGAGGAGAAGAAAGTGGCCCAGATTAACATTGAAGTCACCAAGAAGCAGGTCGACTGCGAGAGAGATCTGGCCAAGGCAGAGCCTGCCTTAGAGGCTGCCAAGGAAGCCTTGAACACATTGAACAAGGTAAGGCAGGCGAATATTAAGCCTCATTAAACAAGATAACAGTAAGGACTCACAGATCAGGCATCTTATCAGTTTTTCTAATGGAAATATACATTTGTGTTTTAGAACAACTTGACTGAGTTAAAGTCCTTTGGTTCCCCACCTCCCGCTGTAATCAATGTAGCGTCTGCTTGCATGTGTCTACTGGCGCCCGGAGGAAAAGTCCCCAAAGACAAGAGCTGGAAGGCTGCCAAGAGCTCCATCATGGGAAAGGTAAGACCAACCAGTTTGTTGTTTTGGTCACATCTCTCTAAAAATAATATTCAAATACTCTAAGGGAAGTAAGATTTTACTATGGTTTGTTTTCTGTGACAGGTTGATTTGTTTTTGGACAATCTCATCAACTACGACAAAGACAACATCCATGATAACTGTTTGAAGGCAGTGCAACCATACCTGGATGATCCTGAGTTTGACCCCGACTTCATCCGAGCTAAATCATTGGCCGCTGCCGGTCTCTGCTCCTGGGTCATCAACATTGTCATCTACTATAGGGTATACTGTGAGGTAGAACCCAAGAGAATTGCCCTTGCTCAGGCCAATGCTGAACTTGCAGCTGCTCAGGAGAAACTGCGTGTTATCACCAATAAGATTCAGAGTCTGGAAGCAGATCTGGCAAAATTGACAGCAGAGTTTGAAAAAGCCACCAATGAGAAGCTTCGCTGTCAGCAGGAAGCTGAAATGACGGCCAAGACTATTGAACTTGCCAACAGACTGGTGGGTGGACTGGCCTCTGAGAATGTCAGATGGGCCGATTCCATTAAAGACTTCAGAGAGCAAGAAAAGACATTGCCTGGTGACGTGTTGCTGATCACAGCCTTTGTGTCTTATGTGGGCTGCTTTACAAAACAATACAGGTTGGACTTGATGGATAAGCACTGGTTGCCATTTTTGAAGGGCATGAAAGTCCCCATCCCAGTGTCTGAAGGCTTGGACCCTCTGACTCTGTTAACAGATGATGCCCAGATTGCCTCATGGAATAACGAAGGTTTGCCCAGTGACAGAATGTCTACAGAAAATGCCACCATTCTGACAAACTGTGAGAGATGGCCACTGATGATTGATCCCCAGCTACAGGGTATTAAATGGATTAAGACCAAGTATGGAGCAGACCTTAAAATTCTTCGTCTTGGACAGAAGGGATATTTAGATGCTCTGGAGAGAGCTCTGTCCTCAGGAGATGTTGTCTTGCTGGAGAACATTGAAGAATCTGTGGACCCTGTGCTTGACCCTCTTATTGGACGTAACACAATCAAGAAAGGTCGCGCCATCAAGATTGGTGACAAAGAGGTAGAGTATCATCCAGACTTCAAACTCATTCTTCAGACAAAGCTGGCCAATCCCCATTACCAGCCTGAGATGCAGGCTCAGACCACCCTGATCAACTTCACTGTAACCAGGGATGGATTGGAGGATCAGCTACTGGCTGCTGTGGTCAGAAAAGAGAGACCTGATCTGGAGAAACTGAAGGCCGACCTCACAAGACAACAGAATGAATTCAAGATCACTTTGAAGAAGCTTGAGGACAATTTGTTGGCACGTCTGTCATCTGCTGAGGGTAACTTCTTGGGAGACTATGCCCTGGTAGAAAACCTAGAAACCACCAAGAGAACTGCTGCAGAAATTGAAGTGAAGGCCAAAGAAGCCAAGAAGACAGAGGCTGAGATTAATTTAGCTCGTGAGAGCTACCGTCCTGCTGCTGCCAGAGCTTCCCTCCTCTACTTCATCCTCAATGACCTGCACAAGATCCATCCCATGTACCAATTCTCTCTCAAAGTCAGTATAGCATAAGTTAAAATTCTTCTTAATGGAATTTGACTGATGTTTCGTCAGACATTTGAAAAGGGAATTCTATTCATTTTGTGTGAATTTTACAGGCATTCAGCGTTGTATTTGAGAAGGCCATTGACCGTGCCGAGCCTGCAGAGGAAGTGAAGCAGAGAGTGGTGAACCTGATCGACTGCATCACATACTCCGTGTTTACGTACACAGCTAGAGGACTGTTTGAGAGAGACAAGATTATCTTCACCTCCCAGATGACCTTCCTCGTAAGTTCACTTTATACAGCACAATTCAGGAGAAAACAAAAGATTACAATAACATGAGGTACAGGAAAATCAATTTTGTGTTTTATGTTATAGATCCTGATGGCCGCTAATGACATTAACCCTGTTGAGTTGGACTTCCTTCTGCGTTTCCCAGCCGTACCCAACGTAACCAGCCCTGTTGATTTCCTGAGTAACAACAGCTGGGGAGGAATCAAGGTAATTACTAATTAAAGAAGAATAAAAAAAATATCTTCTAAAACTTTTGTATATTTTATGCTATATGGTTCCAAATTCACATTCCTGTCCAATAGACATAATTTTTTTCTAATTATTTAGGCCATGGCTAACATGGAAGAATTCAGGAACTTGGACAGAGACATTGAAGGTTCTGCCAAACGATGGAAGAAGTTTGTAGAAAGTGAGTGTCCAGAAAAAGAGAAGTTCCCCCAGGAATGGAAGAACAAAACTTCCCTTCAGAAGTTGTGTATGATGAGAGCTCTTAGACCTGACAGAATGACCTATGCTGTCACGTAAGTTCTGGATACAATGTCTTAAAATTTATTCTAACAGTACTATACCTCTGAATAGTTAAAGAGAATCTCTTAAAATACATGAAAATAGCTTTCAATTCAACCCCAGATTTTAAGGTGCATTGACACTTGGCTTAATTTTTCCCTACAGGAATTATGTAGAAGAAAAACTAGGAACCAAATATGTTGAGGGGCGTGCTGTGGAATTTGCCAAGTCCTATGAGGAATCGGGACCTGCCACTCCCATATTCTTCATCCTGTCCCCAGGAGTGGACCCCTTAAAGGATGTGGAGGCATTGGGTAGAACTCTTGGCTTCACAGATGACAAGAGCAACTTCCACAACATTTCACTGGGTCAAGGTCAAGAGGTCGTTGCTGAGGCTGCAATGGATCTTTCAGCCAAGGAAGGTCACTGGGTCGTCTTGCAGGTATGACATACAGTAGAATTTTGTTATTGAAAAAAAACAACAATATTTCAATGTTGATTTTTGTGGATTTTCTTATACAAGAATTGACAAACTCTTTCCTTTTCCTCTGTAGAATGTCCACTTGGTGGCAAAATGGCTGGCAACCTTAGAAAAGAAGTTGGAGCAGTACAGCACAGAGAGTCATGAGGCCTACCGTGTCTACATCAGTGCTGAACCAGCAGGCACACCAGAGTCCCACATCATCCCTCAGGGTATCCTGGAAGCAGCCATCAAAATTACAAATGAACCTCCAACTGGCATGTTTGCCAACCTGCACAAGGCCCTGGATAATTTCAACCAGGTAAACATAAATTTGTAAAAATGCAAGATGCTTGTTTACCTTTCAGGTTACCAGGATTTTTTTGCCAGAAATTGAAGATGTTTCTAGAAAGTTTCCTTTAAAAGAGAAGAGTATCCTTTCCATTTACATATAATAATCTATTTCGGTAAAAATTTCAGGATACACTTGAGATGTGTGCCAGAGAGACAGAATTTAAATCCATTCTGTTTGCCATCTGCTACTTCCATGCTGTGGTCTGTGAAAGGAGGAAGTTCGGAGCTCAAGGTTGGAACCGTGTGTACCCCTACAACACTGGAGATCTGAGAATCAGTGCTATGGTCCTGTATAATTACCTGGAGGCCAATGCCAAGGTCCCCTGGGAGGATCTGAGGTACCTGTTTGGAGAGATTATGTACGGTGGTCACATCACAGACGACTGGGACAGGAGGCTCTGCAGGACCTACCTGGAAGTGTACCTTCACCCAGACATGGTAACCAACTTTCTCAAATTGATTTGACATTTTTTGGTTACCTTCTGGCAGTCAGCTCCAAAAATTTAAGCTTTTTTATGACAAGTTTGCTAACAATTGTTATTGCTTATTCTAAGTAAGTTTTCTATGTTTTAGCTTGACGGTGAATTGTACCTGGCTCCTGGTTTCCCTGTCCCTCCTAACTCTGACTACAAAGGCTACCACAACTTTATTGATGAGTGCCTGCCACCTGAGAGTCCCTACCTATATGGTCTCCACCCTAATGCTGAAATCGAGTTCCTGACCACCACGTCAGAGAACCTGTTTAAGACTGTGTTGGAAATGCAGCCTAGAGATTCTGGAGCATCTGCAGGAGCTGGAGTCAGTAGAGAGGAAAAGGTCAGTTACTGGGCATTTTCTTGACATGACCAAGGATCAACATATATTTAAAATTTGGTCCAACATATTTATACCCCCCGCAAACGAAGTTTGGGGGGGTATATAGGAATCACCTTGTCCGTCTGTCTGTCTGTCCGTCTGTCTGTCCGTCTGTCTGTGCAATTGTGTCCGGTCCATATCTTTCTTACAGAGGGACATTAGAATCTACTACTCCACACTAAGATTGCTCATAACCTAAGGGTGTGTCATGACCTTGACCCAAGGTCATTTGGGGAAGTTCAAGGTCACTGGAAGAAAAATTTCATAATTCGTGTCCGGTCCATATCTTTATTATGGATAAACTTGGTAGGTTCTCATTTCACACAAAGATTGCCCATGACCCAAGGGTGTGTCATGACCTTGACCCAAGGTCATTTGGGGAAGTTCAAGGTCACTGGGAGAAAAATTTCAAAATTCATGTTTGACATATATCTTTTATGGATAAACTTGGTAGGTTCTCATTTCATACAAAGATTGCCCATGACCCAAGGGTGTGTCATGACCTTGACCCAAGGTCATTTGGGAAAGTTCAAGGTCACTGGAAGAAAAATTTCATAATTAGTGTCCGGTCTATATCTTTCTTATGGATAAACTTGGAAGGTTTTCATTTCACGTAAAGATTGCCCATGACCCAAGGGTGTGTCATGACCTTGACCCAAGGTCATTTGGGGAAGTTCAAGGTCACTGGAAAAAAAAATTCATAATTAGTGTCCGGTCTATATCTTTCTTATGGATAAACTTGGTAGGTTTTCATTTCACGTAAAGATTGCCCATGACCCAAGGGTGTGTCATGACCTTGACCCAAGGTCATTTGGAGAAGTTCAAGGTCACTGGTAGAAAAATTTAATAATTCGTGTCCGGTCCATATCTTTCTTAAGGATAAACTTGGTAGGTTCTCATTTCGTACAAAGATTGCCCATGACCCAAGGGTGTGTCATGACCTTGACCCAAGGTCATTTGGGGAAGTTCAAGGTCACTGGAAGAAAAATTTCATAATTCGTGTCCGGTCTATATCTTTCTTATGGATAAACTTGGTAGGTTTTCATTTCACATAAAGATTGCCCATGACCCAAGGGTGTGTCATGACCTTGACCCAAGGTCATTTGGGGAAGTTCAAGGTCACTGGTAGAAAAATTTAATAATTCGTGTCCGGTCCATGTCTTTCTTAAGGATAAACTTGGTAGGTACTCATTTCTCTCAAAGATTGCCCATGACCCAAGGGTGTGTCATGACCTTGACCCAAGGTCATTTGGGGAAGTTCAAGGTCACTGGAAGAAAAATTTCATAATTTGTGTCCGGTCCATATCTTTCTTATTGATAAACTTGGTAGGTTCTTATTTTACTCAAAGATTGCCTATGACCCAAGGGTGTGTCATGACCTTGACCCAAGGTCATTTGGGAAGTTCAAGGTCACTGGAAGAAAAATTTTATAATTCGTGTTTGATACATATCTTTATTATGCAAAAACTTACTTCTGAAAAACCCAGCGGGGGGTATTTTGTCCCAATTGGACAGTTCTAGTTTTCCGTTTTAAGTTGATAGCGTTGATGGCAAGAATTTTTCTTGTCCCTTCCTTTTCTGATGATTTTGAAGTTATATTTGGTTTGTTTTGAATACAGATCAAGGGCATCTTGGATGAAATTGTGGAGAAATTGCCAGAAGAATTCAACATGATAGAGGTCATGGCTAAAGTTCCACCAGAGGATAGAACTCCATACGTACTGGTGGCCTTCCAGGAATGTGAGCGTATGAACATGCTGACCAGTGAGATCAGAAGATCACTGAAGGAACTGGACCTAGGATTAAAGGTTAGGATCATTTAACAGTCATAGCCCAGTATTGTGTAATGATTAGATCAAATTCAAGCTCAGAATGAACAGAAATGAAGTTTTCTAATATTCTTGTCGTTAATCAACAGGGTGAATTGACAATCACATCTGACATGGAGGACCTTGGTAACGCCCTCTACATGGACACCATTCCTGAGAGCTGGAACAAGAAGGCCTATCCTTCCCTGTTTGGATTGACAGCTTGGTATGCTGATCTTCTACTGAGAGTAAAGGAACTTGAGACCTGGTCCTCTGACTTCCAGCTTCCTGCTGCTGTCTGGCTGGGAGGATTCTTCAATCCCCAGTCCTTCCTTACTGCCATTATGCAGCAGATGGCCCGTAAGAATGAGTGGCCATTGGATCGTATGTGCCTGCAGTGTGACGTCACCAAGAAGTCCCGAGAGGACATGGCAGGTCCGCCAAGAGAAGGCGCGTACGTCCATGGTCTGTTCATGGAGGGGGCCAGGTGGGACATGCAGACTGGTATGATTGCTGAGGCTCGACTCAAGGAACTGGCACCACCCATGCCGGTCATCTTTATTAGGGCCATCCCAGTGGACAGACAGGACACCAGGAACATTTACGAATGTCCAGTCTACAAGACCAAGACCCGTGGTCCTACATTTGTCTGGACCTTCAACCTCAAGAGCAAGGAGAAGCCCAGCAGATGGATCCTGGGAGGTGTGGCTCTTCTGCTACAGGTGTAAAACAAACTCTGAACTTATCAGTCACTTTGTGACAGTATTCTGTTACTTTACAGGACACATCAAAAATGAATTTGTTAACAACAAAATTTTTATTCTTACTGTGTGTGAACATTGCATTATTTAAAAGAAACCAGTGCTCAGTATTTTGATGAATTATTGATAATTTATGTGATAGACTGTTAACTTGGTGATATTTAATATCAACATGCCGTCCAAAGTTATACATGTATTTAAAGTATTAATTTATGTTGAGTCAGATTGAATGAGATTTATTGAAAATGTTTTTATTTTATATAATTTAAGTGAATGTTTGTTGAATAAATTGATCACAAATATATTTCCTGCATGTGCTTTTCTTTTCAACATGATTAAAATCAGATCTTTGTTTATATGCTTAAAATTCCAATAGTCTCTCTAAACAATCAGGTGAAGATCATTTTATAAAACACCCAAATACAGGTCTTTTCTCAAAGAATACCAGGAATATTAAAGCCTTAGTGCCTTTTCAAAGTTCTGGCCGAAGTTATGGTATTTAAAGAGTAGGTCAGATTTCAAGGTCAAGAGGTTAAAATGTTGGTTTTCAATGAAAGGTCACAAGAAATATGCGAGTGAAATATGAAAGTTCTACATCTACTATTCAAAGATTATGTGGTCATCTACTATTCAAAGATTATGTGGTCAATGTTAAAAGTTTGGCTTAACTCTCATTAGTAGTCCAAGGTCAATAGGTCAAATATATTGGTTTTCCAAGGAGAGCCTTGACACAAGAAATATATGTGTCAGATATATAAAAAAAAGGACACTATATACTTTCTAATTACTGTATACAGGGCTTAACTCCTAAGGCATATATTCATGTATGTCCAGTATTATTTGTTTGTTGCATTGCTTTATGGAAAGAATAACTTATTTGGCAAGAGAATTTTTACCTTACCCACAGAATGAATGTAAATAAAATCTTTATAAGTGAATGGCACATGAATAATGCAATACAAGGTGCAAACAGATTTAACAATGGACAAGTTTTTCTTGCCAAGTTTCATTGTTCAGGTCTATATGCCTTTGATAAAGAAAATCAACCTTACTAGAGCGTAATGATTTTAAGATTCAAGCAAAACCTTCTTTGAGACATTCTGTGGTAACAGGATGGGGAAAAACTATGGCTGGACTAGGAATTGAACCTGGGACCCCCAGTATCACAAGCCAGGCCTGAGCTACCCAGGGGGGTATTCATGGCCTAAACCATTACATTCCTCCCTCCTTACATCCATGACTGAATTAACCCTAAACAACACAACCCAAGTTCTTATTAGCTCCAAGCAGGACTTTCACCTGCAAATCCAGGGCAACAAATTATGTAAAAGGAAAGGAGAATGGCTGGACTGGAAATCCCAACTGAGACGTGCATCAATAGTCATGTACTCTACAAACCAGGCTACTAAGAATGAACCATTACACTTCAAGAAATCCTTTGTATAATAATTTTTTTTCATCTATCAATAACACAGAATGAACTTCAACAATGAATTATTCAGAAAAAAATACAATCTTCACTGAAAATGCATTTTACACAAGGCTTTTAAAAATTAACACATTTTTTAAGTGTCCACTACACTGTTCTCTGGTGTGTCCAGTGCCTGAGCTAAGTCCATCATGTCCACAGTCTCAATGTCCACTGTGGGTGTCTCTCCTTTTTTGGCCTGGTGCCAGTGTTTCTTGTGGCCCTTATTTCCTCCTCTCCCTCTCCCCCTCCCTCTCTGAAATCCTGGGGCTGAGCCATGTCCAAAGCAAATCTGAGATGGCACTCTGTGAATTAAAATAGGACATTCAATTATCAGTTAACATATAATGTTTATAAAAATACATAATTATGAAGAAGAAAATTTTTGAGTAAAAGGAAGAACCAAATGCACAAAAGCAATTTAAAAAAAAAAAAGAACGAATCTGCATGTTAATTGAAGGATTTCTTGACATACTTGTAGCTGAACTTTCTCTGGCTTTGTGAGTCTGGCTTTGAGATCTGTACCTCCATACTGTCCTCACCCTTCTCCCTGTTTCGAAACAAGAACAGTAAAAAACATAAATAGTAAAATTGGGAAGGGAGGGGGACTGATGCTACTTGCCTGTGCATCCATAAATTTTTAAAAGATATGTACCTAGTGCTTATACAAAAGTCATTTTCATTAGGATATGCAAAAAAGAGACTTGTCTGAGCTTTATTTCCACTACCCCTACTGCTTATACATTTAATAACTAGAACTGTCCAAACAGGACAAAATACCCTGCGCTGGGTTTTTCAGAAGTGCTAAATCATGAATATTTTATGGATCTAAGAGAAGAGAGAAATGCTAAAACATTTTTAGTGCAAATGTAATTGCTCATTATATTTTTTTTAATGAAACAAAGGTGCAGCCTGATAAAAAAAAAAAAAAGACTAAATATACGGACCAGACACGAATCATGAACTTTTTCTGTCAGTGACCTTAAACTTGCATAAATGACCTTAGTTCAAAGTCATGACACAACCTCAGGTCATAAGCAATGTTTGTGTGAAGTAGTAGATTCAAGTTTTTCCATAATAAAGAAAGATATGGACTGGACACAAATTATAAAATTTTTCTTCCAGTGACCTTGAACTTCCCCAAATGACCTTGACCCAAGGTCATGACACATCCTTAGGTCATGAGCACTCTTTGTGTAAAATGAGAACTTACCAAGTTTATCCATAAGAAAGATATGGACCAGACATGAATTATGAAATTTTTTTCCAGTGACCTTGAACTTCCCAAAATAACTTTGACCCAAGGTCATGACACATCCTTAGGTCAGGAGCGATCTTTGTGTGAAATGAGAACTTACCAAGTTTATCCATAAGAAAGATATGGACCGGACACGAATTATGAAATTTTTCTTCCAGTGACATTGAACTTCCCAAAATGACCTTGACCCAAGGTCATGACACATCCTTAGGTCAGGAGGAATCTTTGTGTGAAATGAGAACCTACCAAGTTTATCCATAGGAAAGATATGGACCAGACACGAATTATGAAATTTTTCTTCCAGTGACCTTGAACTTCCCCAAATGAACTTGGGTCAACATCATGACACACCCTTAGGTTATGAGCAATCTTTGTGTGAAATGAGAACCTACCAAGTTTATCCATAAGAAAGATATGGACCACACACAAATTATGAAATTTTTCTTCCAGTGACATTGAACTTCCCCAAATGACCTAGGGTCAAGGTCATGACACACCCTTAGGTCATGGGCAATCTTTGTGTGGAGTAGTAGATTCTAATGTTCCTCCGTAAGAAAGATATGGACCGTACATGTTTGCACAGACAGACGGACAGACAGACGGACAGACGGACTGATAGACGGACAAGGTGATTCCTATATACCCCCCCAAACTTCGTTTGCAGGGTGTATCAAAACTGTATATGCTTAGTATTGCTTACTCTTGATTTAGTTTCTTCTTTCTTTCAAATCTAAAGTTGGAGGGGAATTTATGACACTTGATCACATGATTTTTTCTGTCTTTATGTGTAGAAAACTTTTCTCCACAGGATTCCAACAAACACTGAAACTGCAAAAAATACAACAAATAACAAGAGGTCCATGTGCCACAAAGCCAACGCAACACATTTAAAAAAAAAAATTCCTTCTTCGATATCATAAATATCAGATATTTAATTCAAGTTTTGAAACAAAATACAGACCTTAAAGAATTATTAAGATGCTTCAAATTCTTCAATATCAACAAAATCATACATGTAATAGTCCTATTTGATTATGATTTATTCCATGTACACATTCATAATGCAGAAATTTGAATCTCTCATTTCAGCTCAACTTTGATGCCCCTAATATACCAGGGCTTGTAATTTGAAAAAAATAAAAATCTTGAAAAGTAACAAATATGAAAATAATACAGACACATGATGATCAGATGCTGGTCACTTTGCTCAGAAAATACTTTTAAATATCAGAAAAATAGCCTTTGGCTCATGTGAATGAATTTGATTATTCTTTTTCAAGTAATTCTTTAATCTGTTGGGTTTTTTTTTAGATCAATTGTTTCCAAATTATCACTTGTTCACATTATTTAGATAAAGTAGGAGAGAAGGTGCTCTAGCCTTACCATGGGTGACTTGGCAGCCAGGAGATCAAACATGGAGTCATGCCACTCTAGGAGATGGATGTCCAGGAGATGGGAGGTGGGGAAGTTCCTCTTACACTGACCACACACGTTTCTGTGTGTACTGTTATAATGTAACTCATAGCTGGAATTACAGGCATAAGATATGTAATTTAACTTGTGCAAAACTTTTTCTTCTAAAAGAGTAAACCTGAGAGTGTTCTATCTGACAATACATGTGAATCCGGAAAGCTAATACCTTAAACATTTTAAAAATCTAACGGTGAAAGACATAATGAGATATCATTAAATTTGATACACTTACAAAATAAAGATGCATTTATATTGATTGGTTCTCAGAAAAGTGGATATAAAAAAGGTCACTTCAAAGACAATGGCTTTCAGAGAAAAAGGTGAAGTATTTTTTTCCTAAAAGGTAGAACTAACCTATTAACACTGTCAAGAATTTTATTGCAGCCAGATATGCCACATGGAATAGCTGAGGATTCTCTGTAAATACAAATGTATTATGTACATTTCATAAATATTTTGCAATCAGTTGCAGAAATAAGGAAATTACAAAATACTGTGTAAAGAAAAACAACATACTGCTCAAAGAATTCTTCCTCGGTTGACAAATCAAAAGGAAATTGCTTTGTTAACAAGCAACACACAATGTTGCCTTCCTCAAATAAAGGATGTGAGGGTTCAAGTCTTCGTTTTAAAGGAGTCCATTTCAATTTTTGACTATTTTCACACATAACTAATTTTCACCGGTATATATCACGAAATCTTTTCACAAGCAGAGTAAATGTAAATAGAACAATAGAAGTTTTTCAGAATTATTTTTCTGCTAACGGAAATGAGAGTTTGTCCATTAGTCCGTCCACTTGATCTTGAAGAGTATCGAGAATGTCCGCTGAGATAAACAGATGGGTCTCATCCAGATCCTTGATCACAAACTTTCGTCCCAGAGTCTTTTTGTCATCCAGCTGGAGTAAAAACTGTTTCATAGCAGGGTCACATTCCACCAGTATTCCCTTGTCTACATTGACCATTGTATCCCTCAATTGAGATGAAAAAATTAATTTATAACTGCTGTAAGCAAACATGGTAAATGCAGCAAGATTCATAAGTTTTTGTGAAACAAAATCTTCAAACTAATATACAACAGCAGAGGATATATAAAATGAGAACTGTAATTTATTTGTCAGGCATATTTTTGAGTACCTTTCCTTAGTTCTTTGCTACCATAATTCATAAGAATAATGACAAATACTGTATGACTGTGTACTTAAAAAAGTGGGCTTCATATTTGAGTGGATTTTGCGCAGCAATTCATGAATACCGCTAAAGAAATCATTTATAAATAAAACATATGGCATGTTAACATGTAGCACTAATTCATGACTACGCCAAGAACTCAATACCCAGTGATTCTGCTAAAATTTGAATACACTAATTTATGTACACGTAAAGTATGACATCTTTGCAGACTGTCAAAATTTTATATTTTATTATTTTTAGTTATTGCAGAAAGTTCAAAAGAAACCAAATGTTACTGCATGTACTGCACAACTGTAGTGTAACAATTTTTATTAAAAACTGCATTTTTACTGTAGATTCTATTTAAGGAAATACCACTAACATACAATGTTACATGTATGTGGCAGCACTCTCTAGACTGTATGTGTAACATATGTGGTCTGAAGTTTGAAAAGGCAGAAAAAAGTGACATGTTTTCTGATGGTACAACTGCATTATCCCAAGTTAGAATAATTTACCTAACTGAGTCTTACTATAGCCAGACTACATCAAATATAGATGCAGTGCAATGTATAGCAAATCAGAGTATATCCACTCCAGAACAATTTTGAGGAATGTAAAAGAATTAAGGTCAAGATCTAGTAAATGCCCTCTCACTTCCTTCAAATGAAATAAAAATTTTCATTTAGCTCTCCACAAACACTTTTGTCTTTGACATTCAATTTCATTTTCTGAATTCAAATGGAAAGCAAGATCAAAGATTTCTCTTTCTCATCTTTATACAGTTGATAATGAGTTAATTATAGAACACATTATATCAACTTCCATATTACTACTGAGTTAATTATTGAACACTTTATATCAACTTCCACATTAACAACTTTATTCATGTTAAGTATTCATAATTTTGGAAAAGTACAGTCATTTTTGATTATGTTGATAATTGACAAATACTTTTCAATTTTGACTTCTTCCTTCCATCATGTCTATATATATCTGCATACTTCCTTAAGGTCAAGATCTAGTAAATGACTTTAGAATAACTTTTCAGTGCTAAATCCATTATGACGTCATAATCACTTTCAACTTTCTTTTTCCCGTACTTTACGGCTCTAGTAGAATTATGTAGAAAATAAAGTATTTCCATGGAATTCAATTTGAAATCACATGAAAAGTAGTCCGGATACCTATCTTAAATTTAGCATTATTTTAAAGTAGAGACTAAGAACATACAAATAACCGTTTTCTGAGAGACTGTAGGCTTTCTGGATACATTTTCTTTGTCTGATATGGAAAAAAACTCCCATTTTCAATACTGGTTTTCTTAATTTTTCATTGAAAATGACAGTTTATAATATGATTTTTCATCTTGTTTTTCTATAAATTATGCCCCGAAACGCCTATTTTGACCAAGGTAATGTTATAAAGCATCATTAAAGGAATTAATTTCTTAAATTTGAAAAATCTGTAGGCACCTTCCATTTATTAGATCTTGACCTTAACACTATAAATAACTTCTAATTTGATAATACCAAAGCTTTATGAGCTAAGATTTGCTTTCTTCCCTAAAAAGTAGTGCATTTTTTTTTACAGAGAAAAATTCAACTCAATGTTTTTTCTCCCTTTTATTTCTCATGGCATGATGACATTCAGAATGCTATGGAATATTCAAAGTAAATGTCTACTCCATGATAAAATTTATCTGTCAGACTGATACTATATTTTGCTTTGTTGGAAATGCTTAATTTGGCCCCTCATTTTTTTTTTGGTCAATTTTTTCAGGTTGAGTTTTTTTTTGTTTTTTTTTTTTTCTAACCCCCCCCCCCCCCCCCCCGACGCTTTCAAAAACTGAGAAAATAAAAGTTGAACCACAAGGGCTCTGCCTCATCACGATTTATTTGTCATCTTTTTATTTGACCACTCCTTCATTATAAAATAAAGTGTACAAGTTGGTCAATTAAAAAGAAAACAAATTAATCATGGTGAGCCATAGTGGTTGAAGTGAACGGTTCGATATACATTTGAATTTTCATACTGTACTGTTATATCATACCGTTATATCATAATAATCTTAGAATGTGATGATTCTACATGTTTATAATGCAACTTTCTGAGAAATGGAGCTGAATATTAACAAATAAAGCGTTTTTCACAATACTTACTTACTTGCTGGTCTACTCAGTCATAACCGGTTTAAGCAATCGCGAAATAAAAGATAAACTCGGAATTAAAATGGTGTACGGAAACAGAACTTCCGCGTATTCTTTTCAATATACTGTGAATATTTTACAAAATATTAGATTGTGAGTGCATATTGATTTAGATACCAAATAAAAGAAGTGAAGAAATCAAGGGATTGATGGTTTTATGTCTGATGAAAATTAAATTTAATTCAAAGGGGGGGGGGTGCTCTAAATAAAAAGTGTATTTTTTTTTTTGCACAATACTTTATATGCTACTGGTATTTGAAATGTTTCTTTCTTTCTATGAATTAACAAAATAATGTAAGATAATTTATTTGTGATCTAAACTACGCGGTCATAATAGCGTCGTATTTTTAAAAGTGGAGAGGTAGGGAAGAAATTCAACCGACTTTCCAGAATAAGCAAAATGGAAAATTAACCAAATTCTTAGTTCTCATTCATCCGGGATTGCAGATTCTAACTTCTTTCTGTAGGCTAGCTCATCATGAATACACTACAGTACTAGGTACCTAATACATGTTTTATATAGTGCAACGAAAAAAGCAGGCTACAGGATCAATTTTCAATGAACAGTTTTCAATAGTCGATATATCAGTTTGGAGTAAGGATGGGGTGGCAGCCAGCCCCTGCCTACTCCTGAGTCCTGCACTGACTCGTCATATCAGGGTTTTTTTTTTTCATATTTCACTAGGGAAATTTGTTGGATTTTCTTAATTCTTCTATGCAATAAAATCATGACAGAATAGTTCATAACTCACTACAATAACAGCACTTCTCAATATTTTCTGGTTCAGGGGATGGACACTCGCGATCCGAGTTACTAGTATGTTCCCGCATCCCCCATAAACTGGCGTCAAAACGGTGGTTATATCTTGCCAGTGTCTTTGTCCTGTACACAAGAAATCTAATGTTAAATTCATCCTCCTAGAGCCCTCTCTACCTATTACTTTTGTTGACTAACAAATAAGTTCAAGAATTTCTGTTTGGTTGAAGCATTTGGAATTTTTAAATCTGATTGATGATGATCATAAATTTACTCAGGGGGACGTACATTTATTATATAGACCTTGTTTTCATAGAAATGCAATTGTTCAAATAAAAAAAAATTCATCCGATAGCTTAAATTATATCAAAACGCAAATTAAAAAATATAATACAAAATAAATAAATAAATAAATAAATAAATAAATAAATAAATAAATAAATAAATAAATAAATAAATAAATAAATAAATAAATAAATAAATAAATAAATAAATAAATAAATAAAGTGGCTTAATAATTAGTCTTTGAACCCAAATAGTGGGATTTCCCCTCAGATTTGTTTACTTTAAATATTTGACAGACTTTTTTCATTAAAACGAATGGGATTAACTTGGGCCAATCAAAGGGATAGGTAATTTGTAGGTGTAAATGAGGACCATTTGGGAGTACTATCTCAAATCCGAAAATGTTGCGCTGATCAACTGAATTCCAAGTATATTCCAAGTGACTGAAGCTAAAAACACTAAAAAAAATTGTAAAATAACCAAATTAATTTGATAGATAATGCAATTCCAACGTTTCTTTTCAAAAAATCTTGAAAATCATTAACCGGATATCGGAATCCACATTTCATTCTCCATATATCTAACTTCCGCTTTCACCCCAAGGTGTATCATTCCAAGGGTTACCTGAATCTATGTGATTTTGTAGTGATCGTAAAGGTTTTACCGAGAACTCTGGACTTCTATCTTAAAAAGGATGCATAAAATATTCGGAAAAAAGAACAAAAGTAAAGATAATCTCGTGGAATATTCACAAAATTCTACGGGAAATGACGGACCCCGCCCAGCGGAGGGGAACAACACACCTGACACGAACGGCACAACGCAACAACAGCCGGCGGTACAGAAGAATGACCCCCCTCCCCAGCCGCCCCGTCCCAAGCTAGTATTCCACTGTCAGCAGGCTCATGGGAGCCCAACCGGTATCATCTCTGGGTTCACCAATGTGAAAGAATTATACCAGAAAATAGCCGATTGCTATGATTTACCTGTTTCAGAAGTAAGTGAGATGGTATTTTATTTACTGTCAACTTGTAATTGGATTTTAATTTAGGTATTTGCCATCATTAATTGTTATTGTCATGGGTCTTTATTTTAGCTATTTTCTGTTTGTCATAAAAGTGGAAAACATACCATGTTATACTAATGTCATTACAAGAACTCATTTATATGTTAAGTTGTAACGGGAGAGGAGAAAAAATGCAGAGGACCAGATCGGGATTCCAACTAGGGCCCCTTGAATCTCCGGTCAGGTGCTCTACCAACTGAGCTGTCTGACAGCCACATTCCTCCCTCCCTAAAGGTCTTTGGCCCCCAAAGACCCCAACCAAGGCTCTTCCTTGGTCGGCTTCTCACCTGTCACTTGGCACTAAATGTAATGGGAGAGGAGAAAATGCAGCGGACCAGACTGGGATTTAAACCCGCGTTCCCTGAATCTCCAGTCAGGTGCTCTACCAACTGAGCTGGCGGCCACTGTCGATTGAATCTGACTGACCACCACAAAAATTAAGTTCAAAATGTCATGATACATGTAACTAATAGACCATTATTTGAACTTGAAAGTAGCAGTTGGTTATTGGTTTGAATATCAAAGTCAAAGCGTAATTAATTATTATTGTTATTGTTTTGACAGTGGCAGACATTTGTATTCATTGACAACTATCCAGCTGATATGTAAAATTGAAATCAGTTTCAACCGATGTCATGTTTCACTTGTCTTTTTAAGGGGGGAAGGGGGTATGGATATTGATATGATATTGAGATGCTGGTATCTCTCATCCTAATTTGCATTGAGGTAGTAAACCAGTATGTACCACATGATTCAAAAAAATTTAAATTGTGAAACACTGATGTGTAAAAACACACAATTAAAAAAAGTGACCATTTAAACATAATTAAACTATTTACACACTAAAATTTCCTAGTCATGACAAGGAGCACACTGTGGTTGTGACCAGTCAGGAGGGGATGCTCACTCCTCCATGGCACCTGATCCCACCTCTGATGTTTTAGAGGTCTGTGTTTGCTGACTGCTCCTGATTTGTATTGTTTGAATGGACTTTTGAGTTTAAATACTGTTTGTTTTCTCAAAATTTCATGACATTTAATATTGCTGGCACAATTTACACTTTTCCACTGGAAGCATGATTTTAGACAAAAGTTGTTACTAGTATCATAAAATGTGTAATGATTGTGATAAGATGTGATTAGAAAATAGTGTTTTCACACATTGATTCAGTATTACTTCAACAAATGTTATGCAACAGTGGGGACCCAGATTGTAAATTTGAACTAAAAATCTAAGTGAGGGGTTTCTGTATAGCCAGAAAATCTGTGTGGTAGATAAAAGGGGTCAGGATAAAATGAAAAAAAAATAAAAACATATTTGAAATGTTTCAACAAGAGTAAAATTAAGAAAATCGAGAGAAAAAATATGTGATTTTGAATTGTATATGAGGAGGAATTATGTCAAATGATCAACAAGTCTCAATAGAATTAAGGGTCTACAATGTAGATATTCTTGTACTTGGTCCAGACAATTTCAAGTTTTTCCCCTGAACAGTTAATTAACTTATAAGGTTGTCATAAGAGCATACAGGTAATAATATACTTGTACATTTGAAATGAGAATATTTAAAAAAAAAAAACTGATATGAAATCAATATGGAGGATACATCACAATATGTTTCTATGGTGATAGCAGAGATTGTCTATTCAATGAATACTGGATTAATAGGTAACGTTATAAAAATGTGAAACCTGATGCTTTAGACTGACTGACAATAAAAGGACAGGAATAAATATGGAATGTGGACTTCTTGACTATAACCTCTGTGTGACCTCATCATATTTATAATATGTTTGTTTCATACGTACAGTTCATCTTTATTAATATTAAATTGTGTACATCATGGTTATGCACATGTAAAGATACATTTTAATTTTTTTGGCCATTCCTCCCAATATAACCAACTGTTAATGATTTAAATTTGGATAAAAATCGTCAAAATTTTCCCTCGTATTTCACTTCTCGGTTTGATAAATCTATGATATATCTCAGATGACAGTTTTCTGATACTGTCACAGATTGTTGGGGTCCTTGATCAGTACTTCATTTGTGTGTTGAATTAATTAAGGTTAATTTGGTGTTGATTAATTATGGATACAGATTGGGCTATATTAAGTCTTTCTGTTAGTACAGGTAAATTTATACAGTAAATTTGATCAGTCATAACACATTATACAGTGTTGGTAACATGCCCCTGTATAATTCATAATAAACAAATGACTTTCAAATATCAACCTAGTTTGATGGGTGTTTTTTTTTTTTTTTTTTTTTTTTTAAATTTTTTACTGATGAAATATACTTCTATCTTGTACCCAAAATCAAGAAAATGGAATTCCTGTTCTGTAAATACAGGATGGTTTAGTCTCAATCAAAATTTTCTGTATTATGATGCATCCAGAATGAAAGTTGTTTGGCAAGTTACAAGTTGATAGAATTTAGTTCCTAACACAAAGGGAACTGATTTAATAATGTCTTCAATAATGTGGCTCAACTGTATATAGTTTTGTTGAATACTATCAGATTTTTGAAAAGTGTGTAAATGTAATAGAGTATTTTAGAATAGTAAACTAAACTTCGGCTTAATAGGTTCCTAAGCTACCCAGTAGTTATGACTTTATTATAATTTCAGATACTCTTTTGTACATTGAATACACACAAAGTGGATATGTCCAGACTGTTGGGTGGACAGATTGGTTTGGAGGATTTTATATTTGCCCATATCAAAGGTCGTCCCAAAGAAATGGAGGTGACAAAGTCCCAGGATGCATTAGGACTGACCATAACGGACAATGGAGCTGGGTACGCGTTTATCAAACGAATAAAAGAGGACAGTATAATGGACAAACAAGAACTGATTTCAGTGGGTGATCATATAGAAAAAATTGATGGAAAAAGTTTAGTGGGCTGCAGGCATTTTGAGGTGGCCAAGATGTTGAAAGAGATTCCTAAAGGAACTACGTTTACCATTCGTGTTGTGGAGCCCATGAAGTCTGGTTTCTGTAAGTACGTTTTTAACGTCAATATGAAGTCCCTGTATATTTTACCACTTTAAACTTTTTATATGTGCACGTTAAGATTTTATTTTTTAAAAAAGTGAATTTGCAGTTTGTAGGTCAGCATCATTTAGCTTTGAAAACAACCCACATTTTGAAAATTCTTCCTGTTTGATTCTTTTTTGGTAAATAACATGTGGTTGGATTTTTGGTGATTACATGTATTGTATTAAGAGAATATGATTCCTTATTTCTAAAACATATATATTAATTATCTGACAAAATCCTAGCTGAGTTTTTGTTTTGAAATAGCAATGCAATTTTATCAAAAATATGATGCTATTTGCTTTATTATCTGATCATGCAGCAAGTATGGGTAAAACATGTGTTTTATATTGTGATTGGATCCAGTTCTCTTTTCATTTTAAATATGATTACTTTAATAGTACAGTCGAAAGGAAAAAAAAGAAGATTTGTTTAATCTTCTTTAGATATTTCAAAGCGATTCAAAGAGACAACGTTTTCAAACATTTTGAGCTTTCATAATGTAGAGATGTTCCAATCAAAAGATTTTTTTACAGATCACTAATTTTTCACACTTAAGAAAAATAATACACTGTACATACTTAATAAGCTTTATTCAATCATATAATTTATTGATAAAACAGATTAGTGCTAAAAAAAACCCTTTTAGTCATTAGTCATAAATTAACAGCGAATGGGAACCTTTTGTTGTATGCCACTAAGTTGTTTGTGTTGTTTTTTTATGTACAGATGTCACCAAAAATTCAACCTACAGTGGACTTGCTTGTTCTGCCCCAGATAGTCCCTGTATTGTTGTGATTTCGTAAAAAATCTTTATTGTTTTCGATAAATTATACCAGGGTAATTTAAAATGTTAACGGTAAGTACTTCGCGGTAGGGTTAGAAATACTTTGAGAAATACATTCCCCTTTCTATTTGTAGCTTTTGTTGAGAAATCCAGCGGGAAAAAGGGAAGTGGAAACATAGGATCAGGCAAACAGACGTTACGACTTCGATCCTCAGGGCCCGCCACTGTGGAAATTGTGAGTTTACTTTTGTACACAAATGGTACACTACTGTTGTCAATAGATGGCTTTGAACATCTTTGGTTGATCATACTAGTATATCAATTTATGCAATACAGTAAGATTTGATTTCTTACTTTTTTTCTTTTCTTTTATACAGTTTAGCAGTGACATGAAATGCATATATCTAAACTGAGGTGTCACATTCATTCATGTAGATAAATGTCTTTCACTACCATTAGCAAATTATAAGACATTGCATCTCTTGTTACCAGCATGTTAAGTTGATAAGCAAAAAAAAAAAAATCACAAAAGTTTATTTTCACTGAAGATGTGAAGTGCAGGAAATGAAGGCTAACATTAATGTGATAATTAAGGCTAATTAAACAGGTCTTAGGTAATGTATGGATACACAGTGTAAAGAGCCCTCGACACCGAATCGTTTCATCAGGAGGAAATGTCTTCTAACTTAGTACTCGACAGATAGAGAGTGATACATAGCTAGGCCGATAACACTGTTTATTCATACCTAACATATTCTGGTTAACTAATCGGCCAAGATAAAAACATAGGTTTTTGTTGACCTTTGACAAACTCCTCAGTAGAAAAAAAAAACTAGACACAGACAAATAAAGACACAGCTAAGCAGCATTCTGGACAGCTTTATATGGAATCAAGTCACTTTTCTGGAGTACATAAGAATTTTCATTGGCAGGAGTATATAGGTTTCAGATATTTTATTCTAAGGGAGGCAGTAAAATGCTTCAGTCAGCCAGGGGACTGATTGTATAATATGCCATCATAGTAGTAGTCTTGACTTGTAGATTCACTGATAGGTGGGTCTTGACCTTTAGTTTATTATGACAGCCTATCTTTGATAACGGACACAAGCTTGAGATAAACAGACATATAAAACAAGCTTGTTTGTGTAATCTGTTCTGTCTACTACCATAAGATGAGGGCCAGTTAGAATTTGTATTGGTAGACACAAGTCCACAATAAAAATTCAAGTTCCTATTGCAAACATTGGCTTGCTGGTAATTGTTATAATGGGTTACACAACAACTCCACCAATAAAAATTTTACAAGTTTTAAATAATTTTACACACAATGTACAAAAATTATTAAATGTATTTTCAAATATGTTTTATTATCTTAATTATTATTTTTGTATGTCAAAATTGTAAAATTCAAAGGTTCTTACCCTAAATGATTATATATGTTTTTTGTACAAAAATGTCTAAGGTACAGTCATAGGGTGACATATAATTTTTACCCAAAATACAGCTAGAATGCAGGATTTGGCATCTCCCCAAAATTTCCCCCTCTCCCCAACACAGAGACATGTATAGGCTAGGTTGACAGAAGTGCTTGGATTTGAGCCTTCTTCCTATATCCATGAAGTATAGGCAAAAGCCTAACCGCTTCTACGGTTTAAAAGTTAGTGTCAACCCCTGATAATATGATTATTAAAGGTTTTGGTCAAGTATAAAATCCCTCTACACACCCCTCTCCCCAGAAACATGCATAATTGATAGTTTTTCACATATTTTAAAACAAATTAAAAAAAAAAAAACTAGTTATTTATTGTATATGCATTAAAAAAAAGCTATTTTGTAATTATTCATTCAAGCAAATTATTGAAAAAAAAAAAAATAATTGAATTAAAATTGAAGAATTTTCAGGTGTTGAGATTTAAGATGCTGAAGTATGAATTGTTAGCTGACACCATGTTTGTATTTTCAGCCTGATGATGTAGTGAATGTGGCAGTTGACAAAGTAAATGGTTTGTTGGAATCATTCATGGGAATCAATGACACAGAGTTAGGTAAGTCTACACTATACAAACAAAGAAGTGTCAAGTAGCCAAAACCTACACAGATGTCCTCTAAAACATGTTGATATACCCAGTCAAAACAGGTTCTCATAATTACTTATTCAGAGCAAAAAATATATTGTTGTTTTGAGTGAATTGCTTACAAGGGGTATATCATAAATGTATATGGGTAGAATACTTTCAAAGTAGAAGTGAGGGTTATTTTTTCTAGCTATTTTTATTAAAAGTTAATTTTTTGTCAGTGATATCATGTCAGATTTATAGCCTCAGGTTTACCTGTATAAAGTTTCACAACTCCTTAACTACTGCAAATCAAAACACCCCCAGACTGCAGGTTTTAATTTCACAAACAATTCAAATTTACCTGTGGGTTATTTTTCAACATTGGAATGACATTTATGTAAACATTGAAATTCTTATTTAACAATACCAAATCCTAGTCAACTTCTGTAAACTTGAAAACAAACTTAAAGTGGAATGATAACAAAGTTATAAATTAATCTTTAAAAAGTAACGTTGCTATATATAGAAGAGCACCCCCTTCCATAATTTATTTCATTGCTAAAAAATTATTATTGATGATAAATAAATGCCTTGGAAGCTTTATTGTAAAATGCAATATTTTATGTGAATATTTTTTTTTTGCGTAATTTCATGAATGATGTAAATGATATTTTTGCTCCACAGCTCAAACAATATGGGAGTTAGGAAGCAAGAAAGATAACCCAAGTGATTTTGCCATGGCGGTGGACAACTCGGAACTTAAAGACTTTGGTTTCACGGACGATTTTGTATTCGACCTTTGGGGTGCAATTTCTGATGCAAAGAGTGGCCGACTAACAAAGGGTGTGCAGGAATTTAACGAACAGTTTTAGAGACATGTCGTCCTGGGTCTATACGTGTACAAAAGTTGTGGTAACGTGTTGTGATAAATTTCTGTCTACATTCCCTCGTCATTTTGTGATGCAGTCATACAAAAACGTATCACCATTTTATATTGCAAATTTTTACTTTTAAAAAAGCTGTGCTTTTTCACCATTTCATCTTTATGAAAATTATTATATTTTTAACAGATATAGTCAAGCATTCCTAGAAAATTTTCTTGTTATATTAATAAGTTGATTATCATATGATTTAATTCCTGTGTTATATTTTTGCAAATATTTTATTGATTGTTATGAATTAATTTAATTATTAATACATGTACATCATATGTTATTTATATGATCTCAAGCTCTGTATAAAAAGATAAAGAAGAATAAGTCCTGGTGTGTTACACACAAGTTTCTAGTATTTGTTTCTATAAAAGAAAAATGTCACGAGTCCATTGTTTATTGCTCAATTCAATTTCCAAACAAAGATGCATTAAAAAGGGCAATAAGTTGTAAAATATCTATGGTCTTTGAGAAATTTTAAGTTATTTGGAATTATTAAATGAATTTTTAAAAATTTGATAAAATTAGGAAGAAAATATTGTCTGACCGTCAGTAAATCACTTTGCTTACCAAGTGGCACTTTTTAAATACTATGTATTACAAATTTTTACTTACAACTGAACATATTTTTATATAGTTACCTATTTCCAATGTCCTATTTAGTACAATATTTTGCTTCTAAATCAGCAATTGCTTCCCGGAGAGGACTTTGTCTCAGCCAATCAGGGTTAAGTACCGTAAATGTATTTTATTTGGCGTGTATGATATTTGGCGGAAAAGTGATTCCTGACCAAGTTAGCGTATACATGTATTTGAATTGGTGCTTTCTGAATATGGTTTTTATGAATATATATAAACAAGACAATTTGCAATGAACTTAATTTAGAGGCAGATGCTTTTATACACAGCCAAATGTAATACATTTACAGTATTTGAAAAAAAGTTGTCATTATACTTTTAACAAATTTGCTAGATTTAAGCAACTTGATAGTATATCACTGATTTCATGACTGATAGAAATATCAATTCAGTTAAATTCTTTTTCATTTGATGCCAGTTGTGAACAAACTATATATGGTGTGTATTTTTAAACTTGTATGAAAGTGGCTGTTGGTGTCCTTTTTAAAAAGTAATCAATATTTAATTAATGTTTTAAAATTGTGATTCTAATGCTTTAAGTTAGTTTAATAAACTCTTTAATTTAATTAATTTAGTAATATCTTTAATTTAAAACTACATGTATTTTTTAGTAGACTAATGTTTGTGCCATTGATAGAACTGCATATGATTGAAACGAAATAATTTCACTCGTTTTTAGTCTTAAGTAACTTCAAGGGTTGTGTTTTTCAGATTTTTCTACAGTAACTTATGGTACTGGTAGCAGCATGTTTTAAGGCATATCACAGCACAATATATTACACACAATATACACATATCATACATGTATGACATGTTCATTGAAAACATATCGTGAAATAACTCAAAATTAACAATAATTTTTTCCCACTTAAGTTGTATTTAAACTTTGGTTTCAATGACTTTGATAATGATAATGAAGGAAGCTGTGACCTTGTGTTCATGATGTTAGTATTACCATATTCATTGTGATAAGAAATCCATCTTAATATACCTGCAGTGCTTAGAGATTTTTATAGCTTTAATATTGCAACAACAGCTTACTTAAAAATTTCATCGAAAGATTTTTTTTTTTAATGGATGAGAATATTCAATGTCACCCTCACTTTTGCTAGTCTAGTTTTGATAAATTATGTTCAGAAAGAAGTAAAATTGTGTGTTATTTGTTAATTATCTGTTAATTCTCCTAGGGAAAAATTGTATTTTGAATTATGTTGTGCAGAATCCTTGTATTTTCCATGTAAAAAAAAATTGCTCTGGTCTTTGATGACCATCCATTGTTTATTATGATTGTTCACCTCAAACAAAATAATTTTTTCCTTGACTACAAATGAATCGATCCCCTACCCTTTGTTTTAAGTCTGTACATTTATAATGTCTATTTGATGTCAACTGATACATGTTGTTTGGCTTGTTAAATGTCAAATACTTAAGATTTTTACTGTCAAAATCTTCTTGATACTTGTATACATTTAATGTTTTAATTATTGAAAATGCTCTATTGTTTGAGCAGTTTAATTTGCAACTTAGAAAATGTAGACTTCTAGATAAATACGTTTGCTGCTATAATTTAACTGGGTACATCGGATTGTGTTTCACTTGACTACAAACATTAATTTTTCCCACCCTGGAAATATTAACTACTTCTTCCTTTTCATGCATTGCCAGACTGGCAGACAGAGAAGGAAAATACACTGTTAAGCACAATGATATTAGCAACTTTATTTCAAGTTTTTGATTCATAACTCAAAATTTTTAACCAGCCATGCTGTATAGAGTTCATTTTTGACTCAAGAAAAATGGAAGGTAATATGTTGTTGCAACTGTATTCTTTAATATCAATTACAGTCATGTAAATGAAGCATATGGACAAAAAAATGGCAGAGCCCTTCATATTTACTTCATGAACCAAGCTATTTGTAACACAATTCTTCATACCGGTTGTGACTGAATTTTACAGAGATTTTCCTTTAGAATTTAGAAGGTCTTATGATGATTTTGATGAAATTTATTTATTTAAGCAATGTGATGATGAAATGTGATGATGCTGGTTCATCACAGTGTATAATAAATCTTTTCAATGATGATTTATCTGTTGTTTATTTGAAGAAATAAACTGTTTATGACATCAATGCCAGGGAAATTAGTTAGTTAAAAATGCAGAAAAATACTCCCCGTATCATTGATTTATTTTGATTAAGGGGGAGTGTTTTTTTCCCTTTGTTGAGCCATGTATAAACTAAATGAATACCAGTATGTATCTTCTTAGTATCTTCTTAGTATCTCAAATTTAAAACAGAGATGTTGGAAAATTTAAAAACAAGATATGTTTATGAAACACTCTGTGTCTAGCAGCATAAAGTTTTAAAATGGTTATTTTAATCATATAGGTCACAGTCAAGGTCACAAGGTCATTGACCTTGGTGTCATATTTATTTAAAGAGAGATTATTGATAATTTTAAAATGAGATGTTTTAAAACATAGATATGGCCCCCCCCCCCCTCCCCCACAAACTGGCTATTTTTAGCATAAAGGTCACAGTCAAGGTCATAGTCTCTCAAAAATGGTGCCATTTACCCAAAGAACTTAATTAGTAGAAAGCTTACTTATCTGTAACATAAATTCCATCTCTCATGTGCAACCTCTCTAAAGAAAATGATGGTGAAGGTAAAATTTTTCAGACAAAAAGCTATTTTGGTGTGATCATACCCAAAACAAAGTTGACCTGGATATTCATAGGACTAATCTGTATACTAAATTCCATCTCAATGTGTGCAGCTCTCTGTGAAAAGTGAACAGAAACTGGTCCAATTTTTCTTATGGATAAACTCTGTCAAAAATGGTGTGATCATTTCACACAAAGATTGCTACTGACCTAAGGGTGTGTCATGACCTTGACCCAATGTCATTTGGGGAAGTTCATGGTCACTGGAACAAAAACTTCATTATTCATGTCCGGTCCATATCTTTCTTATGGATACACATGGTAGGTTCTCATTTCACACAAAGATTATTCATGACCTAAGGGTGTGTCATGACCTTGAACCAAGGTCATTTGGGGAAGTTCAAGGTCACTCAAAGAAAAAATTCATTATTCATGTCCGGACCATATCTTTCTTAAACGTGGTAGGTTCTCATTTCAAACAAAGATTGCTACTGACCTAAGGGTGTGTCATGACCTTGAACCAAGGTCATTTGGGGAAGTTCAAGGTCACTCAAAGAAAAAATTAATTATTCATGTCCAGTCCTTATCTTTCTTATGGATAAACTTGGTAGGTTCTCATTTCGCACAAAGATTGCTCCTGACCTAAGGTTGTGTAATGACCTTGGGTCAATGTCATTTGGGGAAGTTCAAGGTCATTGGAAGAAAAAATTCATAATTCGTGTCTGATCCATATCTTTCTTATGGATAAACTTGGTAAGTTCCTATTTCACACAAAGATTCTTTATGACCTAAAGGTGTGTCATGACCTTGACCCAAGGTCATCAGTGCAAGTTCAAGGTTACTGAAAGATAAATTTCTCTTATTGCTTCCATATCAATTTGATAAAGATGGAATGCATCAATGCTACTTCACACAAAGATTCACCATGCAAGGGTGTGTCATGATTTTGAACGAAGATCATATATGCAAGTTCAAGGTCACTGACAGAAGTTCATAATTCATGTCTGGTCTGTATATTTACAATTTTTTTTATTAGGCTGCGCCTTCGTTTCATTGATTAAAAAATATAATGAGCAATTATATTTGCACTAAAAATGTTTTAGCATTTCCCTCTTCTCTTAGATCCATAAAATATTCATGATTTAGCACTTCTGAAAAACCCAGCATATATATTAATATACAATTGATATAGTTTTCACATAATTTCATTGACCTTGGTGTCAATTGAAAGAGTTTAATTAGTGGAGTATGCATACCAAACATGAAATCTCTATCCTTAATGGTTCAAAAGTTATGGCGAAAGTTGAAGTTTGCAGACAGACAGGACAAAAACAATATGCGACCCAGATCTATCGATCTGGGAGCATAAAAATGATAGCTCAAATGACTTCAAAAGATAATTCGTAGAGATTTCAACTTTTAATTATGTTCATGCATACATAAAATCTAGGACTCACATTATGGGAATACATTTCTCATATTGCTTCCATTTCAATTTGATAAAGATAATAACACAAACAAACTTACAAGAATATATACCTTCACCATGCAAATGACATAACACTAATTAATGTCCTTGTATAAAAAATTACTACATCATTCTATTCTCCTAATGTGTGCCATTTGACTGTTTTTTCTAGTATTTATAGTAAATTTTTGCACACATTTTCAACATTAAGTCACAATTTCATAGACTTGTGTTCACTTGAAAGTTTGAGTACATATATCTGTGTATAATTTTTGTCCCAATAAAGCTAGCCTTGGGTCGACTATATTCAAGATCGATTCAACACATTTGGGGATGCTTTTACTAACCCTAGCTGACATGTATATTATTATACAATTGATTATTATTTTTCCTTTGCATACATTTCTTTGTGGAAATATACTGGTAACTTCCCAACTGTGTTCTACTGTAGCCCTAAAGATAAGTTTTGAAGGTACTTGAATTTTGGCTACATGAAACTTTTTGCAAGAAAAATTAATTATATCCCTTTGAAGAATGAATTTCTTCTATTTGTATATGTTTGATTTTCTTTCATCCTGAGATGCCTTCTTGTAAGTTTGTTGGCCCAGTGTTTCTGCAGAATATGTGAAAAGTTTAATATTACGTTGTACATACCGGTATATTCAAAGTTAAAATACATGTACACATAATCAAATGTATATAGATATTATGTATTATACATTTTCTGGGCAAACTGATTAGAAAAGCTCTTTTGAGCCTCTAACTCATGACAACTAGTCAGCTTTTTCTTTTTTCAAATATACACTTACACATGTACCTAAATTAAGAAACCAACACCTGTGCATTACACTCAGAACATGTATATGGTTTTGTATCTTTTTATATAAATAATGTATTGCATTTGTACAAATGATAAGATGGTTTAAAGTCTGTTTAGTTGTCCAGAAGACAGATAGGGTTGTCGTAGACCATTTGTAAGTTCACTTTTGGTCCAATGAGAGTCCTGATGTCATCTATCTTGTACTTAATCATTGTTGGTCTGTAAAATTCATAAAAAAGAATTTATTGTAAGCAAGCATGGATTACGACAAGAAATGTAGTAGCTACAGTCAACTCTCATCATTTCAAACTCAAAGGGCCTGAGAAAAAAAGATATCTGATGATTCAAGATACTGAAGGTACAATACTTTAAGAACAAGTGGTTAGGACTTCCAAATAACTTTGACATATTCACAGTAATTGAGATATCACTGATCGAGATACCAAATATATATTTCTCAGCAAAAATGTCCTAAAAACTTACATTATGTAGTTAAACATTGAAAATTTGGTATTCTTTCATTTTTTGGAAGAGAGAAAAGAAAAAGCATGCCCCACTGTACAACAGTTTTAAATGATGCAAATTTACCTTTCCAGAGATAATCCCCAGGCTATAACAGACACATTTTCAGGCAGACCCATTGGAAGCAGCATTTCTGGACGGAAAATACCAGAATTTCCAATTTCTACCCACTTCTTAAGACCTGAAATATAAGATAAGCCAGTCAGAGGAAAGTTATCTGAGGGTGCTGGATCTGTTTTCAGTTAGTTTTGGCACATAGAAGCAATTTTTTCCTTTATATCCTTTGAAAACAAGAAATCTGTGAGCCAATGCTCACTAGTAATACCCCTGCTCTGATGTGAATATACAATATCATATTAATAAATGTTACGAGTATATGCACGGATAAATAGGAATTTGACATCAGATTCATATAAAAATAAATCCCACCTCACTGCATGCATCATCAAAGTATGTACTAAAATTTCAAGCATCTGTCATGAGTAGTTGCTGAGAAAACTATGACAATTGTTTTTTAATTTATGAAACAGACAAATGCACTGACAAACAGGAAGTTAACATCAAATTTGAACAAAAATTCATCCCACCATATAGCATGCCTCACGAAAGAGTGTGCTAAAATGTCAAGCATATGCAATGAGCATTTGCTGGGAAAACTGTAACAAAAATTTGTTATGAATGAAAAATGGATGAAATAAAAGGAAGTTGACATCGGAGCATAAATCCACCATATGGCATGTATTGTGTTAAAATTCAAGCATCTGCAATGAGTATAAAACTGTGACAAAAATTTGTTATGTGTGAAACATGTATGAAACCGACAGATACACGGCCAAACAGGAAGTTGACATCAGATTTGAACAAAAATGAATCCCATCATATGGCATGCCTAAGAGAAGATTGTTTTACAATTTCAAGCATCTGCTATGAGTAGTTGCTGAGAAAACTGTGATGAAAGTTTGTTATGCATGAAACAAGTATGAAATGGACAGATGTACAGACGAACAAGAAGTTGACATCAGATTTGAACAGAAATGAATCCCACCATATGGCATTCCTCAGAGAAGATTGCATTAAAATTTCAAGCATCTGCTATGAGTAGTTGCTGAGAAAACTGTAACAAAAATTTGTTATGAATGAAAAATGGATGAAATAGACAGACGCACAGGAAGTTGACATCGGAATTGAACAAGAATAAATCCCACCATATGGCATGCCTCAGAGAAGATTGTGTTAAAATTTCAAGCATATTCAATGAGTAGTTGCTGAGAAAACCGTAACGAAAATTCGTTATGCATGAAACGGACAGTCGCACGGATAAACAGGAAGTTGACATCAGATTTAAACAAAAATTGACCCAATATATGGCATGCCTCAGAGAAGATTGTGATAAAATTTCAAGTATCTGTGATGAGTAGTTGCTGAGAAAACTGCGACGAAAATTTGTTACGGACAGACAGACAGCTGGATGGACAGCTAGACGGTAAGAAGAAGGGAGAGACACACAAGGGTAAAACAGTATACCCCCCTCTCCTTCGGAGCAGGTGTATAAAAAACCAACACTAATGATGGCTTACCTCCATTGTAATTGAAAATTTCACTGAAGAATTTTGTTTGGGAGAGGGATGGAAGGGGATAATTTAATGGTCCCTGAAAATTTCTATGCTGGGTTCTGTACAAGTTTGATGATATGGAGTCACCATTTTGATAGCTGATAATACGGTGACTTACCTTCATGATAACTGAAGACTTCCATGCTGGGTTCAGTGTACGGGTTATAAGCTGGTTTGAAGCGGAGTTTAGTGATGCCCAACTTTTTGAAGAATTCCCGAATGATTCCCATGAGATCTCCCAGAGTAAGTCCAAAGTCCGCGACTGATCCCTCGATCTGGTGGAACTCCGCTAAATGTGTGTCGTCTACATTCTCGTTCCTGAACACTCGGTCTATTGAAAAGTACTTCACTGGCTTGAACTCTTTCTGCAAAGATTGAAATTATTTGATATACAAATATAGCCCTTTTATGAGGTAAATCATATCATCACAGAAAAGCATATCAACTGAGCATGAAGTGCTAGGTCAATATGCTTTTCTGTGAAGTTGATATGTCTATGGATCCACCTCAAGAAAGGGCTATACTTGTGTATAATATTATTTTTTTCTCTGATTGGTTCAAAAATATAAGATTTAAACAACCTTGGCTGCCAAGTGTGTGTCTATTTTATTGGTACAGGATCCAGTTCATATTGTGTGAAGCTTTATTCCTTACTTGCCAAGCAAATTGGTATACATGTACTGTAAATCACTTTTTATTCGCGAGAACTTTATTTTCGCGTAATTACGCGAGACAGTGTGGTCGCGAAAATTTAATTCTCGTATATAATAGTATTCCTAAAGATTATAAAGAGCAATAACCACAATTCGCAAAAATTTTGTTTTGCTAATCAGGCGTCAATGACTATCTCGCGAAAATAAGGTGTCGCGAAAATTAAGTGATCTACAGTAAGTCAGTAACATCCTAGCCGTATTTGCTCTTGTGTCTATGTACATACCTGGTGAGCTAAGTGGTATAACATCCTAGCTGTATTTGCTCTTGTGTTTATGAACACACCTGCTGAGCTAACAGGTAAAACATCCTACCTGTATTAGCTGTAATGTCTTTGTACATACCTAGTGAGCTAACTGGTGAAACATCCTTGCTGTATTTGCTGTTACGTTTGTGTACATACTTGGTGAGCTAACTGGTGCAGCATCCTAGTGGCATTAGCTGTAATGTTTATGTAGCAGTACATACCTGTTGAGCTAACTGGTATAACATCCTAGCTGTATTTGCTGTTGTATGTGTCCTTAGTATGTTCTTTTTAGCTTCCTCTATCTTCCAATCCATTTTATACCTTCAAAGAAAAAATATACAATTCATGTTTTCAGTTAGACATTTTTCCCACACTGCAATTAATGAAGTAGACCATTGGCAGAGCTGCCAACATTCTGAAATGAAAAAATAGTAAGATGGGGGGTCCAGGGGCTGTCTAGGGCCCCTTTGGCTGAAGATTTTTTGTAAATGGGCAAACATTCAGAGCAATATGAGGCATGTTTTAAAACATAAACATGAATGCAATCGACCTTCTAAAACAAAAACGGCGACACAAGCAAGTGTTGCAAGGATTATGAACATTTTATAATAATAGTAGAAACTGGAAACGGCCATCTTTGAAAATTTCGGTATTTCAAACATTGACCAAGATAAACTGAAAATGGAAGAATAAAGAGAGAAATCGTAAGACATATTTAAGACACTTATTTTGTAAGCCTTGCGATAAAATTGTAAGTGTTGGCAGCTTTGCATAAGGGGGTGTGTTAAGCCTATCCTGAGCTAGTACATGTGTCTGGCCTGAGGGTGGATATGTATTTTCAGTTGTTAACTTTCACATGAGATCCTTGTGATCTATCCCCCAAGATGCATCTGACAAATGACCAAATGACCATGCTGAATTGCACTAAGTTTCATAGTGAGTAAGACAGGATATGGGAAATACTGTAGACTTGCTTTTTTCCATGGAGTCATAATTCCGCGGAATTTCAAAATCTGTTTAATCCACGGGTAGAAAATTACGCAGATTTTCTAGACTGTCACTATATTCCTTACATTTTTATTTAGTACGCTTAGACAAATTTCCGTAGAAAACTTGTGACAGTGTACATAGCGTAAATTAATACCACACGGAAAAAGGTACTTCTACAGTATTTAACTGGCCATAACAATATACTGGTAGTTCTAAAATGAAGCCATGAATGTTTGAATAATGTCCCCCTCACCCTCCAAATACAAAAGTTGACAATATTTGATGATCTTAGATTTAACAATGTGTAAGGCATGACCTGAACACTATATTGCTAACAGACAAACTAAGACATGAGACAGAGATACTAAGTTCACAACCATTCTGCTCCAACGCATGACAAAATGAGAATGAAGAAAAACTCTGTTCCTTTTAGCCTATATTGTACAAGTTGTCTCACCATGGCTTAACTAAAATACTTCGTTGAACAAAAATCTCGTCCTCTTTCGCAGTATATTACAGACCTGATTTCTGTCAGTCCCCCTCCCTTTGTAGCAGTGGCCTTACCCTTGTGATCCGTGACCTCCATTAGAGTGAATCTCTTTCACATGATACAAATAATCCATTGGAAATTCATGAGCAGTTCTGGGTTCTATGAAAAACAAATATTCATAAAAACTTATTTTTTGATTCATAAATAGATATTTCATACTTGCACACTTTTTTTATTCTCACAAATCACTGTGACAAACTTTTTTATTAACATCATACCGTATAAGTGGAAATTTTGGCGAGACGCAAATTTAGCGATTTTGACCTAAAATCTGGTATTTTATTTTTACCTAGAAGTAATCATAGCGATTTTAAAATGCTACCTAAAGAAGCTATTACAAATAATATACAGTTAAATTTTAGCGATATTAAATTTTAGCGATGTCAGTACCCTCGCTAATAATGCCAAAGTTAAATCCTCGCTAAAAATTCTACTTATACAGTAATTTATGGAGCCTACATACTGTATACATGGTACACTGTATTTTATTTTCGATTTTTGATTGTCATTATATGCCTTACATTTTCATTAAGTACGCTTGGAGAAATTTCCGCGGAAAATTTATGACCGCGTACATAGCGTAAATTAATACCACGCGGAAAAAAGTACTTCTACAGTACTTTTAAGAAAGCCATAAATTCTAAAGGAATACTGATTCACACAAAAATTCCAAGCTAAATAGGTAAAGACATGAATAGCAAGTTTTTGAAATTTATCTGTAGCTTTACTCACCAGACATAAAGAAAGTATCATGGGCGTCCCTGGCTGGATGTTGCTGTGGCTGAAACAGAGAGTCAAAGTTCCAGAAGCAGCTCTCGACGAAATTCTGGGTCGGCATTTCTGTGAAACTGAAAATAGAGAAATTTTCGTTCAATCTCATTTCTGGATCAAAATATTGAATGTGAAGTGATAAATTTGCATATTTTACATGAAAATCAACAAATTTTACAAGGCTAAACACACTTAATTTTGAGGTTAATATTATTTTCCAAATGATAAAATAGTCAATTATAGCATAAAGCAAATCACATAAAAGCATGGCAATACCCAGTTAATAAAAATTTTGTTTTTGCTCCTTTTAGAGGAATGCCTATCTTTTCTATCCCTTGTTAATATTTTAACACTTAACTGGGAAATGAAAACTCTATGGCTGTGAACAAACATGACTGACCTAACACACATTCAGAACTACTTACCCCATTTCCAGGAAGATCTGTCGGTACTGTGCCCTGACCTTGAGAAGAGGGTGAAGGTGACCTGCCGGAGGGGGCACCCCAAGGGCATCAAAGTTGTACTCCTTAAAAGTTTTAGTTTTCCATGATCCACTACAAGCATAATCACACAGATCACACAAACCATTAATAAAATACATCAACTTTTATAGATGTAGGCCCTGTTCCACAATAAGAACCATGATGAACTTTAGGTATACTATCTGTAAACTCCATTTATTTTTTTCTCATCCACCATACTAATGCAAAGGGCAATTCTGTTCATATCAATTTTATTTAACCAGTAAAAAACCAAAAAATATATCTTGATATATTGATTTAATTGAAGTTTGAAACATTTAACATTTTCAAGAATAATCTACTGGTACTAGTATTTAACATGTTTATTTGTCAATTTCTGAGTGATAAATTTCATTTCTTTGCTTTCATTTCAAAGATATTACCGTACCTCTGTATCATTTCAGGCGTCAAATCCACCTCTGCTTTGCTGACAGTCAGAGTGAAATTAGCTCCCTTTGACACTTTATAGCCTACTTCTTTTCTGCAAATAAAAACATCACAAATAAAAATACATGTAGGATTTTTTAGAGCATTTCTTCAAAATCCTAGATCTATTGGTAAATGTTAAAATAATAACTTCTGTTACAAAACAATCAGGTTAAAGGTACATGTTCCATGGTACAGCAGATACTAACACTTCTGTTATGAGTTTCCTTTTCTTGAAGTCTGATTTTTGGTTTTCTGGGACACTTTTGGAGTCATTAGCTGCAAACTTCAACATGCACTCCTGAACAGTGTCTTTAATGCTCTCACTCTGTAATTAAGATAAAGACACAGTAAAAATTGTAAAATTTGCATTTCATTTAAGATCAAGACATTTTTAAATTAAAAATTTTGACTGTAAAATTTTTGTATTTGTTTTATTTCTGTTTTGAACAAATTGAAAAAAGAAGTTACCTACTTACAGATTGTTTACATTTTTACAAAACTAGCATGTAAAATTTGATTTTAGATCACACACAAAAATGCATGGTACAGTCAATTCTCAAATTATTGCCATTCGATTCATATTTTCGCACAATTTCAAAGGAGAATTGATTTTTAAATTCAAAATTTTGACTTGTAGCACTTGTTTTAATTAAACAAGAAACATTTTTAACATGAACTGTTATTAATTTTGTTTTATTTCTGTTTTGTTAACAAATTGAATTAAAAGAAAGTTTGCTGACCCATAAACAATTTTACAGATTGTTTACATTTTTACACATTTTGTTTTAAAATTGTACATTAAAAAAAATTACTTGAAGTATTTTCAATCAGTATATTTTTATATACATGAAAATATTAAAAATAGAAACAATCACACACAAAAATGTGGTACATGCAAAAGGTGGCGGTTTATAAGGCTGTACATGCAAAGGATGTACTACACACTAACCTTTCTGAAAACTTTTGGTCCACCCTCACATGATTTATCCATGGAAATCCAACCTGCCTGCATGGCTTTGCTGAATCCTATCTTGGCATTAGGAACATTTTTCTGTAATATTCAATAATTTCTGTAAACATATATTGGCCTTAACTATGTAAAAAGTCAGATTTTATAATCATTTGTCCTATAAATTAAACAATGACTTTTTATCTATATTAATATGATATATGTCTGGTTTACAGACAGACTCACTTACTCCTTTATAAAGGGGGGGGGGGAAGTAAGAAAAGGTGGTTTACCCCATGAAGGAATAAAATATAAAGGGTTTCAGCAACAGGGAATAATATTGTCAGGGTGCAGCAATTAAAGATGAGGGTGTGAAATACATGGACAGGAGATGACAACAGTATGAAAGATGAGAGTACGAAAAGGGATGAACAAGAGGGCAGTTATGCCCAGGTGAGGATGTGAAAACCAATGAACAGGATAGTTACACTGCAAAATGGGTGTGTGACAATGCATTGACAATGGAGCAATACAGATGAGAGTATGACTTCCTCATCTTATTCCCTTAAATTCTTGTCCCCCCTTCCCTTTCACCAAAAAGAACAAGGAAGTGAGGAATATAGAACCATTTCTTTACACTATAAATAAACTTATTCAAAATAAATTGGACCATATTGTTGGTTTAACATTTCTAGAACTCTTTTAATAAAATGTGAAATTATTTACCTTTGTACTTATTGTTTAGACATATATAGGCTTGTAAGTTGTTTGACAATAGATGCAATATGATTTATTTAGAAAAAAAAGTTCAGTTAATTCAAAGTTTAATTAATTTGACAAAATACAACTTTTCATCTTCAGCTTTGACTGAATGAATGAAATTCAGGATATAATAATATAATCTGATGCTATTTTTTTCTACATTAATTCAAAGAGACAAAAATGCTTATTGTAGATGTAGTTCCTAATTGTTAAAAGTAATAAGTTCAATGATCTTTTATCCAAAAAAGGAAGAGAAATTAAAGCTGCACAGGATTATATCAGTTTGACCTATCAAAAAAATATTTTTAACTTTTGTAAAATTCAAAATAGTATACACTTGAAAGCTGACCTATTTCTTTACTGAATGAGGAAGAAGCTACAAAAACAATTTTATCTTTTGTATCACACAGTAAATTCTGCTTTAAAAAAATACATTCACTTTTTCAATCATAATTTAACCTTTCAACAAAAATCATCATCTTTTACTTAAAGTTACTATGCATGACAAATTACTATTCCTTTTTATCTAATATTAAAAAGGTAGGATACATGAATTTTGTTGAAATTTTATCCATACAAAGGAAGGGTTACTTCTCAAATCAAACATACCATAATTTCAGCCTGGGTAATGCCTTCAGACGGGACAGCATTGTATACCCTGGCCTCATAACTCCCATTTGCTGCCACATCTTTGCCTTCATCTGTTAATTGCCAATGTTTAGTAGAGTACTGCTCAACTTTGACAATCTAGATTTAATAAAAAGAAAACTTACCAAAATATTTATGAAACATAAATTATACATTGGATAAATATTGTACATTGTATATATATATATAAAAAAAAGTATATGATGAATTTGCCTGCTGCCCAATCCATTCACTTTAATATGTGAATAAAATTTTGTATAAATAAATATTCTACATTTTACAAATTGCAAGGGATTGAAGGAGAGTTTAAGGTTTCTCCACATGCAATTCACCCTTGGTGATTTTGGTTAATTTTCAACCTGTGACATAGCACAACTTTAATTTCCATTTCTTGTTAAAAAGGAGAACAGTAACTTAATATATTGAAAATAAAATAAATGTGCCACCAAACATACCATAAAAATTCTACAGTTATTTCAGACTTTTAACAGAGTCCTTATTTATTTTTTTTTTCATGAAATAATTGTTCAGCATACATTTTTTTTTTCATAATTTTGTGGTATACTGTCTTTTACATGTAAATCATTTTTTTTAAGATTCTGTGTGACTTACGGACTGTAAATGATTAAAAGTCCTTTTCATTAAGGTAATCTAAGCATTAGTAAATGACGGACAAGTATGGTATTATCAGATTGATTGATTGTATATTGTTTAACGTCCCTCTTGAGAATTTTTCACTCATATAGAGATGCCGACTGGTACGGTAACCACTTGCCAGTGGAAGGTTGCGAATTTTGTCCTGAACTCGCCACTCAGGGCCATTGAGAAGGGAGGGACTTTTTCGTGCCAGCACCTACTATGACACAGGACCTCAGACTATACAGTCTCATCGGAGGGACCGGTCTCCATGTCCCACAGTGGGATTCGAACCCGCGACATAAGGATCAACTCCTTACTTTGCCACTCTAGAGCAGACACTTTAACCACTGCGCCACGTGGGTGACTGGTATTATCAGAAGTTCCACACAAGAAAGAGTAAAAAGAATTTCTACTATAAACAGGAAAAATCATGCCAAATATAACAATGGCACAGTTGAAACAATTGGAGCATTTAGTGACATTTAAACTCTCTAGTGGGGAATTTTGAGTAATCGACCTGCAACTTTAAGAAATGAAAGTTAACCGGTGTTAAATATCGGTGACCAAAATTTACTATATCACAGACAGAAAATTTAACCAATTGTAAAACTTCATAAAATAAAAAATTATTGCAGATTATGAGCCTAGAACACGCTAACGTGGTCTAATCCGAATTTTCTCTACATTGGTTTCATTTCAACAAAAAATAGTACAACCCTATCAACAATGTTATGTAAATTATAAGATATGTATTTTTTTGACCAAAATCTATACAAGATATATAATCTGTTATGAGACAAGTGAATATTAATCTTAATACTGTGTAATATCACATATGGGGTGTCAGGTTGCATCATGATCATTACTGACATAAAATATTAGAACATCTTACATCACCAAGAGACTGTAGACTCTTCACTGCACCGACAATCTTTTGATGATCTTCTTTAATGGAGTTTGCAAGCTGCACCGTGTCTATCTCGCCCTGTTTGTCCACTTCTGTCAGCACGACCTGTGACAAGTCGGCCATGCTGTGTTGTTGTGAAATTTCGATCGGGTGTGGGATTCCATCAAGAGTGCATAGCAGGACAGAAGATGGCTTCAGCTAGACTTCTGTGTGTTGTTAGGCAAGACTTATACCAGCCAATGCAAAGTTTAATATCAAGAAACTTATTCCGAAAGCAACAAGTAAGTATTTTAATGACCTCTGAATTAATTTATATTGACGAACCCTTGTTCTAGCGTACGGAAAGCACACTTAATGTCATTGCAAAATCCATAAGTATACAAACACCTGTAATGCCCTCATTGGGCGTGGGTGGATATGAGGTATGATAGCACACATAGTAATTTTTGAGTTACACGTCTGTCACTGGAAAGTTTAGACATTTTTTGATCGGAATAACTTCTACAGTGAATTTCTAGTGTTAAATGAGTGTCAAGTGATTTTCTATTATTCTATAATTTGCATTAAAGATTAAAGAAAAACAAAAAAAAAATTAACTATTAATACTTTATCTACAAGTTTAGAAATAGGCCCTTAATAGCCAATATGTTTAGATGCAAAAATGTTTTAAGCCCTATTCACCATTTAGGTAAAAAATCTTTTTAAAAATTAGCCAGAATTTATGTTATGTAGGTGCATGAGTAGGTCAGACTTGCATACATACAATTGCTTTCCATTTAAATTCATAAAATGTAATTATGTGTAAAAGAAAAAAATTGTGGTGAATAAGGCTTAAAACATTTTTGCATCTAAACATATCAGCTATTAAGAGCCTATTTCTAAACTTGTAGATATAGTATTAATAGTTCAATTTTTTGATTTGAAGGAATTGAGAGGGTATTAATTTAAAATAAATTGAATCTTGATCTTCCTTGTAATACCATCTAATGCCATCTACATTTGAATTGCATAAAGTTATAGTAATTAATGAATGCTACAACAGGGTTCGACACTAACGGTGGACCGGCGGCCCGAGTCCACCAAAAAATTGGAAGGTCCACTAAATGTTCTAGAGTAGGTGGACCGTCGGTCCACTTAAAATTTAAACACAGTATTTAAAATCTGTGAAATTCCAGGGTTTTTTTCTTTAAATCAAAATCCATAGCTCAAATTATTAATTCCTCTATACCTTTATTTTACAAGAAATAAATATACATTAAATACCGGGAACATTCAACACGGACCTTGAATAAGAAGCATGAAAAATCTGTGCCAAATTAGCCAGGCCAGCCTCTCCTCTGTTTACGTAATGCACAGAAAGGTGTGAAAATTTACTGGATTACAGGAAATAGCTTCACGCCTGAACGCACACTGTTGGAGACAATTAGAATTGACTGCAGCTGCATTTATGCATTGTTTTTTCAATAGATGTTCAAACAGGTGTAATTTAAATTTTTGAACTATTATTTGCAGTTTAATTTTTATTCTTGATATACATTATATCACTACTTATTTGAAAAAATACTAAATTTAGAAAATAACTATAAATTAATACACATTCATGTACCTATGTTTTTCCATCGTAGTAAAAAAAATCTAGCCATAGATACATAAAAAAATTCACTTGTTTAATATTTGAACAAATTAATTAATAATTGGAATTTTAAATTTAATCTACTTTTGGAAGCGAAATAAATGCAGGTTTTCACCATTGTAACTTAATGATCATTATTAAAATATTTCTTTGGTTTGTAGATTAATATATATATTTTTGTATGTTTAACAATATTTCTGAAAAAAAATCTGACTTAAGTCCCTAATTGATTCTGTTGACTGGTTAGATTTATAATTTATAAGTCTGACTGGAATCGATATATATTAAAGTATAGTTTTAATTAATGCCTTGTGTAATGATTCATTCATTAATTCAACGTTTAAAAAGGTCCACCAGATATTGAGAAGGTCCACCAATAATTTTTGACAAGTGGACCTGCGGTCCACCGAGGTAAAAAAGTTAGTGTCGAACCCTGTACAATAGTTGGTGTGAGTTTGGTTTGTTTGAAATCTAAATTCCTCCTGGTATTAACTCTACGTATTTAGAATTAACATTCATCTGAATAATGGTGCTTTGAGTTATGAGAGTGATGGTACGCATTTTTCAATGTATTGATGTTCCTATAAACATGGACAAGTATAGGTTTTTACTCAGTGTTATACTGTGAAATCACAAATTTTTGTGGGGGTTTAATTTTCGTTGTTTTCGAGGTATGAAGAGACCCATGAAATCATGTCCACCACGAAATATAAAATGTTACATACATAACTACTCAACAATTCTTTTCAATTGAGTTTTTACTCAAACCACGAAAATTTGATCCCACAAAAATATGTGATTTTGTCAATTATCAACATAATAAAAAATGAATGTACTTTTCCAAAATTATGAATACTTAACATGAATAAAGTAGTTAATGTGGAAGTTGATATAAAGTGTTCTATAATTAACTCAGTAGTATTGTGGAAGTTGATATAATGTGTTCTATAATTAACTCAGTAGTAATGTGGAAGTTGATATAATGTGTTCTATAATTAACTCATTATCAACTGTATAAAGATGAGAAAGAGAAATCTTTGATCTTGCTTTCCATTTGAATTCAGAAAATGAAATTGAATGTCAAAGACAAAAGTGTGCATGGAGAGCTAAATGAAAATTTTTATTAATCATTTGAAGGAAGTGAGAGGGCATTAAAATATTATTAGATTCCTGTAACTCCATGGTATATACACTCATACTAACTAATTAAATAAATATCATTTTAATCTGCATGTGCAAAGACAAATTGTTGTAAACATGAAGGTACATCAATCTAAATGATTAATTATACTATAGAATTAAAAGTGCTTTTCAAGGAAATCTTCACTCATTAAACCCCAAGCATGTACACAATATCCGGAAGAGTTTTTCAAATTCATAGTTGAAATACTGAATGCTTTTGTTTGCCATTTATACTGATAAAATAATAAGAATTATCCATTATACTTTCTGTTGAACTCTTTCACACTTTTCACTTAAAGGTTCTTGTAATGTATTGACTTGTTAAAATGTTCTTCATTGTAGTTTGAGCTATTTTTGTATTAAAGACATGTTAGAAACATTAAATTTTTTTGTCTGTAATGGTATTGTCTGTTTAGGTCATTACATTATAGCTGCAGTGGTTCTTCAAATTCTTCGAGTCTTGAATTGTCATGAAGGAATAAAGCACATTAGTTAATAGAGATTTTTACCATGTTCTCCTAGATTACTGCAGATAAAACACTTATTGAGACAAGGTAATGTTTAAGAGCTATTATCTAAAATGTCACCATGACACTTCAGAATTAAACTGGGTGTAATATTTATTTATTATCCTCATGTGCAAGCAATGTTGAATTTATCAACCATCAGGTAATATCAAATGAATTCATATTTTCAAATCACATTGAGCTACTATGATGAAAACGAGGAAATATTCTAATGATGACATGACTACTATAGCTGTGCATATATTTCTGTTAGGATATCTAATGTTTGTGAACCAGGAACTTTACAATATAGGCCTCCTACACCGCCCACTATAAACAGTCTTGATTTAAATCTATCCATCCATGTCTTAAAAACGAATACACTAACTCTGGAATTTATTCATATGACGTACACAAACAGCTATTCAACAAAGGGTCTTTCATTGTAAACATTGAAAAGGGGTTGAATACGAATGAGTTTGCATAAATGCAATACACAATTTTTTTAGTGTCTCTCTCTTGAAATGTTTGGAACTTATGAAAAAGTCTGTAATGCTGTTAATTAAACTTTGGTTGTGACAAGAATGTGTAAGAGCAACCTAACAGCTCTGTATAGGTATTTATAACATATCGCATCATTCAATCTGGCTCTCCTGTACACTTGATGATGCTCCTGCTGTCCAATATGAAAAATGTGTTACATTGTATGCTAACAATGAATGGGAATAATTTTGTTATTGATCAGAATGTTTAAAGGTTTTCATAATTGATACATACTTCAAAGTGAAAACAGAGAGACAGAATTAATATGAAAAATATCTTCTAAGCACGGAACAGGATTTCAGTTACATGTATCTATAATGAGTAATGATTAATATGATTTTTTAAAATTCACTCTCTCTCTCTCTCTCTCTGTGTCTTGATCTTGATTCTCTCTCTCTCTCTACTAATTTTACTGGTAAATTAAAATGTATCTTCTCTTTTTTTCAGATTAAAGCCCTAGTATGTCCATGTAGTTTTTATACCTCACAAACCAAAGGTAATTATTATCAACATTTCATTCAAGTTCTTAATCCTGCCATATTTATATCACCCTGTATTCTATTATAATCTTATAACAATTTTTGATCTGTTTATTCAAAATACTGACAAATTTTTAGTTTCTCATCAAATTTTAATTTCTGTGACATTTACATGGTATTCATGGCTGATCAATTATACACATTCAGACTGGAATTACAAAACAGATGAAGAGTTACTGTGTTTAATAATAGAACAATATTGGGTTACAGAATCCCCAGGGTTATGGATGCTTTCATTAAGAGAGCTGTTAATTTAAATGTTTAAATATCTAGTCAATGTAAACATATCACTTTCATGCAAAAAATAAGAGAGCTAATACAGTAGAATTCACCAGAAAGATAATGATTGATACAGCAGCACTAAAGAGTCCTAGTTTTCCATGCAATATCTCTTGATATTTTATTTTCTTGTTTATGTGGTTTTAATGGATCCATTTTTGCCATTAAAAAGCCATAAACAGAAATATTCTTTGCAGATATTATCTGGGTTATTGAGTAACACCTTAAAAGTGCAAGTGATGATCTTAAACTTGGCAAAATGTTTCCCATTGCTATGTTATCAGGATCAGACAGATTTCATTGTATGACATCATGTCAAGTAAATGTGATCCTTGACTTAATACTCTTCTTAATTTTTCATATTGAATTTCGTCATTTGAATGCATGTAGGTAAAGTCAGCAAATAAATTTTTGTATTAATTTCAATAAATTAAAAAAACGTACATAAAAAATGGACTTGGTCAGAAGTATTCCTGAATTTAGGGTAACTCAACCATATGCTTTTGAAAAAATCAACAAGCAAACAGAACAACACTGTGAAAACAAACATATCAAGAGCATTATAGGCACAAAAAATATATATCCATTGACAAAGTATTGAAGAATAGCCTTTTTAATAAGCCTGTTTCTGTGGTTATGATTGTAGTTTTATCGACTGGTCTGTTCTTCAAAGCTAGAGATCTAAGGCTTAATCTACAGTCTCCAGGGGCCAGTGTTTTTTGTCCTTAATGATGGTTAGAATATTGTAGACAACATATTTGGTGATAATTATGTTGTTTAGTGTCTTTGAACTTTGGGAGGGAATATCATTTCCATACATCTATGTAGAGAAACTTATCGACTTTTTGTTAATTTTTTTTTAATACAAAAGATTTTTGGAAAATACTTAAATAATTGTTGTCAGAGAGAGATAGAGCGAGAGAATGTATTTGTCTGTATTATTTGTATGATGTAGCAAATAAACATAAAAAAATACTACTCATTCCACTGCAGCCTCTTACAAAATAGCTGCAGTACATGTATGTAATGATAATGCTCTGTTTTATTTCAATACAGCTCTGAGCTGTAAATTCTTTCTTCTCTAGTAATGCATTTTGTCAGACTTTTTTTGACATTTAGATCCATGACTAATATAGACAGACAAAGGCCACACACTTAACTTGGTGCAAAAAATTATCTTTATTCCTTCCATTTGCCATATTAATATTGAGAAAGCTATAACTTGTCTTGGTTCTTGTTCTCATATATTTCATTAGTATAAGACTTTTAATCTTGGCCATGTCCTAAGGTTTTTATTCTCAGATTTAGACCATATATACTTCAGTCTCCCTGCATGTATAAGAGAGTTGGAAACTAAGTGAAGGGTCAGCAGATAGCCGGCTAATGAGGAGATATAAATGACAGAACAGATCTTCACGCCAGCCAATAATTTCTTCTGCAGCCTCGCCCCAAGCTCTAGTTATATAGGCTTATCATTATCATGTCTGTCAATTTAATATTGATATGCTAGACTTCAGATGAACTCTATCATCAGATTATTCAGATTTTTATACCCAGTGGGCCAAATGCTGTCAAGTTGTATTTACATATAGTCCAGGTACTTAATATTCTGTTATTAATATATATGAATATTTATGAATTTTAAAGTAATAAATGTAATTTTCGATAAATTTTGTATTTTCCAATGAAAGTTAATGCTTAAATATAATTCCCTTTCAAGTGAAAGTCTCTTTCTTTTGATCAGTCATGTATGTACTGTATTTTCATTGTAATTTGTCACAAATTTTGTAGTTTCTGTTTGAAGTCTGTATTAATATCTGTTATTCTCATTAGTTATTAGGCTTAGTTTGTAATATTTTCATCAAAATTAAGCTCAATTCCCACCAAACATGCCATATTTCCGAAATTTGATTAGCAGGTGCTCTGTGACTTTTTATTAAAGATGATACATGTACTTATTCAGTGCTTCATCATCTTCATTCTTGATTGTTTTCTGCAGCAATGAGCATTTCTGACACTTTTGGACAGCTGAATTTATTGCACAATATGCAATAAAACATGCTGAATGCAAACATGTTTATAAAGATTTGATGCTTATAACATGTGATTCTCATTCTCTGTGGCTTTGAAATATATTGCTATTGTGAACCTTATGGGTATGAAGAATTCTGTTTATAATGAAGAAAAATTATTTACCTGCCCTGGCAATTTGTTATTACATTGTAGCTTGTTTTAATCTGTACACTGTATGATCAGATAGTACCATAGGATATATCTTTAAAGAATATACCGGGTACATCATCTGGTTTGATCTCTCTCTGACTGATAGTCTCTTGCTAACATTGTAGGTCATTTAACATTTTAAACAGTGATCATTTAACAGTGCAGAAATACATTTGCATTAATCTATCCTTTAGTTTTTAAAGATGGCTTTTAGAACATTTCAGTAAGGTATAACGTGTTAACAATATATCTTGATAGATATCCTTCATGATTAAAATTTGATTTATCCCCTCTATTATGTGTGTGTGAGAGAGAGAGAGAGAGAGAGAGAGAGGTTCATGTAGCACACTGGGAACGTATTTATTATTTTCAATACAGATATAATAGGTATTGGAGGGATGATTTTGTTCGTGAAATCATTATAAATTTGACTTTATCTATGTCCTAAGCTAGCTTAGAAGAATCTCAGAGCCCAAGTCTGACATTGACAAATACTCTGAGATAACAGTATCCCCATGTCAGGATTAGATTTTACATCCACAGTGTTTTGATATAATCAAAGATATTTTTTTTTCTAAAAGTGTACTTTGTCATTGAAATAACTGTTTGCTTGCATTTGCAGTCAAAGCATTTGTAATGTTTCCATATTTAGATTTTGCCAAACCAACACATGGCTATCAGATGTTTGATTGATATACTGTATAAACTTGCGATATTCTTATGAATATTCATAGATTTATAAAATTTTCATGAGGCAGCCTTTCACTTTATTAAGATAAACAAAGATAAGACGAGTCTTTTTGTTTTTTTAATTCCTTGTGGTGGTTTTCCAATTTGCTTTGTAAATCATCAACTTTTCTCTGGTAAACATGGTTATATATAAGAATTGTTATTGGAAACTGGCTGAATTTGTTTTCCGTTGGAAGGATTGATTGAGTAACCCTCACAGGAGAAATAAAGTAGTATTCTAGGGAAATATTATTACATCCTGCATAAGAACTGTAGACTTCTTTATATGGATGGGAATTTGATCTTATAGTCTCTTATGAGATGCTCATGAAGACAAATCACATAGCCTGAAGCCAATCTTTTATGACTAAAATACATGCGTTTATGGGATTTCAATATTTTTTTTTTTGCAACTAAGAATGCATGTGCATCCATAAGACATCATCAGTTTTGGTTTGGCTTGTTTGAAAAAGAGAAGTAAATGCCAAGAGCAGAATTAATTGCACAACATTATGTCAAAGAAACACGGAACTTTTTTTTGTGTAAAAAAAATTGTGTAAAAATTATCACAGTGATCTTGAAGATCTCAAGAGTCATTTTTTATGTAGGTGGAAATTGGTTTTCAACAAGTCAAGTAGATTTCTGAATGTATTTACTAATACATGTAACATATATGTATGTATACTTATATCCATTACATCTAGCCAGCCAGTTGATTTAACTGAAGCTGCTTTCTGCTAAAGGTTCTGAATGGTACCCAGATGTACAGCTGCATATGTAATACACTTACATCACATTACAGTGGTCCAGTCAAGTCATTATAAATATAAGATGTAGTCTGTGTTTTTCTTTGTATACTTTTAAACCATATAGATTTGAGTATAATCTAAGGGAAATGAGTACTGGTATTGTATGTTCAGAGTATCAAAGCAAAAAATATTGAAATTTCAAAAAAAAAAATTTAAAGTATCAAAATTTGGAGGATACCTTTATATTTAGTAAAAAATGGAAGGTGAAACATGTTTATACATTTATAATGAATTGATGCTTATAGGGTGATTTTCATTCTTTGACTTTATTATACAGTATTGACAGATATATGCTTGATAATTACAAAGCAAAATTGCCCAACCCTGGCACTTCATTATAAGCATGATTTACTGTATTAATTTATATTTTTACAGTTGCACTAGAGTTGATAATGTGATAAGCCTTTTAGTTTTAGTTTTTTTCCTTTATTTTCATGGACACAGTTCCTATTTTCATTTTTCAGATTTTTCAGAAGCAAGAGTAGAAGTCAGGAATGGCTTGTCAGTGTTTACAGTGCCTTTACCTTCCAGGAGAGAGGAATGTGAATTCACCCTCAAACCAGTCTCCCAGACAGTGGGGGATCTTCTCCACTACATGATGCTGGAGGATGGGGGCATTGATAGGGCAGCTGTGTATACTGATGGTAAGTCAGGGGGCATTGATAGGGCAGCTGTATATACTGATGGTAAGTCAGGGGGCATTGATAGGGCAGCTGTATATACTGATGGTAAGTCAGGGGGCATTGATAGGGCAGCTGTATATACTGATGGTAAGTCGGGGGGCATTGATAGGGCAGCTGTATATACTGATGGTAAGTCAGGGGGCATTGATAGGGCAGCTGTATATACTGATGGTAAGTCAGGGGGCATTGATAGGGCAGCTGTATATACTGATGGTAAGTCAGGGGGCATTGATACTGGGCAGCCATATATACTGATGATAACTCAGGGGGCATTTATAGGGCAGTTGTGTATACTGGTGGTAAGTCAGGGGGCATTGATAGGGCAGCCATATATACTGATGGTAAGTCAGGGGGCGTTGATAGGGCAGCTGTATATACTGATGGTAAGTCATAGGGAATTGATAGGGCAGCTGTATATACAAATGGAAAGTCAGGAAAGAAGAAAGTCCAACCTTGTAGAGGGAAAGGTAAATTCTGCTAAAGCAATAAAATTCTGCAAAAGATTAAAGCTATAGCAAAAATGGAAGGGATGGTCCAATGTAGCAAAGGAATGGGAAAAGTTTCAGTTATCAAGAAGGAGGGAATTTTCTCTTAGTTTAGAAAAAGGGCAGAAAAATTGCATTTCTTGCTAAAGGAAGGGAACTTCTCTCCATTAACAGAAGGGAGGGAATTTTTACATTAAAGGTATCAAATTTCCATCTTTTGCAAAAAATAAGGAAAATCTTCAGAATAATGCAGAATGGAGGGAAATTCAAACCCCAGGCATCCTTGTAGAGGGATGTGAATTCCCACCTTGCAAAGGGATTGAAATTTCACATGATCAGAAGAATTGGAAATTCCATCACAAGTTGAGCGTATTGAAAGAAAGAGAAATTGTACATATAATTATATAGAATTTTAAAAATTGTAATTAATTTTCCCAGAGTTGGAAGTTAAATCCAATTTTTATTTGTTATGATGAGCTACAAATATCCAAACTTAAGTGCTTTTGATGAGTTATTAAAAATAAGGCTTCTATACAACCTGTATAGTTAAACAACCAATCAGTAATTTGTCTTCCGTGATATAAAGTTTTTTGTTGAAAGATTTTCACAATTAAGAATAGTGAAAAATCTTAAGAAAGTACAAGTAGTACATGTATCAAGATGACCTAAGTATTTATACAGAATGATGAGTAATTACGTCAAACACAGTGTTAAGTGTCCCTTCCTTCCTGAATGACAAGTACATTTACAAACCTATATATGTACTAGAGTCTGTGTTAGATATGTGACGGTAAAGGGTTTATTTATTAACAATAATACAGTTGTATGTGTTTCAAACACACTTTCATACCATGTGAGTGTCTGGGGAATTAGCTTATAGTATGCCACTCAGCTTTCTACCCGTGTCAAACACTAGGAAATTCTGAAAAAAATTAGAATGCCATTTTTGATGTCAGAAAAAAGGGAAAATATGTAGACATAGGCTTGAAATACCCCTGCATGTGAAATATGTCTCTGGCAATATGTAATGAAAAATAAGATACTTTACTAATAGTTAATTTATGGCTTGTTGGATTCTTTTTGAAGATAAAATTTACAAATGTAGCTGTAGTTACAATTTTCTACACGTAAAACTTCTGGGGTTCATCTCAATAGATAACTAACATTGATTTTAAGAAATGTGAAGAATTCAAAGCTCACCTTAGGCAAAGGCTTAAGTGGGCTTTTCTGTTCAATGTATTGCAAAGTTATTAAAAAAAATTTAGTGCCTTACTAAATTATATTTAATATATGCAAGTATTCCTAAGTTGTATGAATTTAATTTTTTCCCAGTTTGGACTCCAGGAAAGTAAGGGTTAACATTAGATTTGGGATCAAATTTGATGCAGTGCATGGTACATGTATATACATGGAAAAAAAATCTTTATTTTGCTTTTGAATCCATGAATTGAGAGAAATTGATCAAATAATTATGGAATTTAAATTATCAAAAATTTAACATGTCCAGACAGACTTTGGTAAATTACAAATCTGTTTGCCTGTGGCAAAATTTGTGTGTTTTAGGTGGTTAGGCACAAGCTTACTTCAAACACTGGATAAGGCCATGATCTTTTGGGCTAGGATGGGCCACAATATGATGACAACATTTTTAATGACAATAATGTGAATAAAGAGAAATATTTTTTTTTTGAAAAAAAATCTGATAATGAACAACACTAAGGCTGAGGTAATTCAGGTGAGCATTATGGCCCATGGGCCTCTATGTAATTGTGTCTATTGACATCATTTCAGACTGTTCGTATTGGCTATGTTGTTTCCTTTTAAAATGTTGAAAAAAGGGAATCAAAAATATTGTTTATAAATTGGATTTAATGTCATTTTAGGTATCTTTTTACAAGACAAATTATCTTTATTTACAGATGGTGTCAGGATATCTCGATCCACAACTATAGATGTTTTGTTAAGGAACAGCTTTAAACTTGTGATAAATAGCACAGAGTATGACATAAAGGCTCCAGAAGGATTTGGTAAGATCTAGCTGCTATTGATATTCCATCAGGGTTTGTTTTCAAGCACTACAAAGGAAATGTCCAGGTTCTGATTTGACCTATATGAAAAATTAGAAATATACAGTTCAACCTTGGTATCTGTAACATTGATATCTGGAATATTATGGGTATGCAAAAATGGTTTGGATGTTCCAAACACATTCTCTAATTAAAATATTTTAACCTGGATAATTCACATTGTCAGATATCTTGGAAGTTTTCTTCCTTCTCAGAGTTGGGGATAATTAGGTTTGACTGTATGTGAACAACATATTCTGTGTGTGAAGTACAAAAAGTCATTTGATTATACCTTTAAAAATTTGCAGTGTTGGTGAAATTTGGAATCAAAGCTTGGGAAATCATTCAGAAAACCTATAAATTTCCTTTTAGGGCATTTTCAAATGAATTATCCCTATTAAGTATGGTTTAAGCTTTTAAAAAAGATAGATCTGTGATGTCAAGTGAGTAATTAACAACGGTATTGTAATCTGCTGTTTTCCATGTGGGCTTAATAAGCTTTCTGAGAAATGTCTATTTGAACAGACAAGGACTTGGAGCTATAAATCTCATTATTGACCATAAACAGAGACATCAGATGGTGATCAGTTTTCCTCTAATGAAGTATCACAGCTTGTTTAGACGTGTACAAGCTGTTTAGTGGTCATTACACCTAGGCTTCTAGCATTGGCGGCTTTCATTAAAAGTATTTCTCTCATAAAAGGATCAATATCTGTTACTTAAATGAAATAACTTGTATGTTTTCACCATGTCATCAATAGTCCTTGATTCAATATCAAAGAAAAGGTTAAACCAACAGAAGAATGGAGATTTTGTACTTTACCAGACCACTTTATGACAACCAAATCAAGTGTGATTAAACCATTGATCAAGAGAGGACTTTAATTAAACACTTTTCTAAAGTCTTCCCCAGCTCAAATTTCAACTGTTTTAAATCTTGTCAGTATTTAGCATGGAGGAACAAATGTAGTTTTACCTGTGACTTACATGGCCAATAAAATTAGAAGAATGGCAGTTTTTTAAGCATGTTGAAGGAAGGCATTTCTCACCTTTTTGTTTATGACCAACAATGTCGAAGTTTTACATGTTAAAAAAATTGCGATTACACATAAAATTTCTTTGATCTTTAAATTGCTTTGCTTTTCCCTGGCTTATCAACTGCATACTAGCTGTTAAGAGTGTTCTTATTTTGGGTCAAGTTTTCTTAAAATTCAATAGAGTTGCTGTACATGTAGCTGGTCATTTTATATTGCTGTCTGGAAGCTAAAAAACTAATCTGTATTCTCTGTAGAGAGTGTAGGCCAAAGCATGTACTAGAGAGAATACCTCATAATAGGTATCAGACAATACAGTTAAAGCATTGTGATAATTAGAATTGTTACCCTGGCCTTGTGATACATTAGCACTACTGCAGTATACATTAACTACAAGTGATGTACCATTAGCCAGTAGATACAGTGTGAAATCAGTTGTAAGGTCTCATGTATTCCTTTGTTATACACATGTAGATGTTTATCAGTTGTTTCTGTCTTAGTATTAATTCAGTTAGTTGTAAGTCCAGTGTATCCCCTTGTTCTAGGGCTTGTTGATGTTTATCTGTTGTTTCTTCTCTGTTTTTGTCTAGACGTCTGTGGAACCCATATTGGTTGCAAACATGCATTGTACATTAATGTCAATATGGACTTCTCATGCATGTATCATAATCATGAACTTAGCTTTTTAGCTAAGGAACATGAAGCCTAGCTGCTAGAGTAATTATACATGTATATGATATATGAATACTGATTTAAAAAGGATAACATTTAGTCTGAAGAAATACAGATATGTTTGTGTATTCATGCTGATGATAAACTGCTGATTTAATCAAACTTTTAGGGAACACTTTACGTGTATAATGGGCAAGTAAATATCACCTTAAAAAATGAATTTTTTAATTACTAATGCACTCTTGAATACAAACTTATAGAAGGAAGTTTCTACACTAAACAGGCGCAGATCCAGGATTTGGAGTTAGAAGGGGCGCCAAAATTAGGCAAGGGGTCTGGGGGCCTCTAAAAAATGAAAAGCTTTAATTATTCTAGAGATTTTGTAGGGTAAAAATCTACCAAGTAGACATATTTGATTTATGCTAACTTTGACAATTTTTTTTTACACTGCTAAATAAATTCCCTCTCCTCTATCTTTGACATATTTGACATCCAGAGAGAGAGAGAGAGATAGATGTAAGATGCATACAGCCAGGTGTACTGGCATCAGATGACCTTCTGACCTTCAGTTTCTACAGATAGCCAAGGTCGATGACCTCAGGATTTTAATACTTAGGCCTCTCATCATACTCCTGCTGAGAATAGAATAAACTTTTCATTGTCTACCATTTCTGGGCAGGTTGTTCATGAGAAATTGAAATCATATCCAGTAGATTGGTTTTACTTGTTGTCATTAATATTCCATCTTTTAATTTAGAATTAATTCAGCTGATCGATAATCAGTGCTGTGTGAGATGTATAGTTTAACATTTTTACTTCTTAAACTGATATTGTTATGAAAATTATATAAGACACATATGCCTCTGACAGGAAAAAAAAAATTGCATACATATTTAAAACTTCCTTAATTATTCTGGTATATAGGAAGATTAAATAGTGTACTGTTGACTACTGTGCCTTCTGTAAGGAAAACAAACATACTAGCCATACCAGCAGACATACTAGCTACAACTTAATGGTACTACATGTTTACATATATTAATTAGAAAACTTGGTCAGTTATTGGGTGCACATCTCAGTCTCATATATGTAGACATGCTGTGTTGTTAATGAAGACCTGATTGTGAAGCTATAGAGCAGCCTTCATCAGTACTAGCTATATACTGTACGTTTTGTTTAGAGGTGTAATTAACAGTGCAGATTCTGGCAGATCCCTGCAGCTGTCATCTGAGTGTTTGTGGTGCAATGCGTGGGTGGGTATTGTGAAGTGCCGAGAGCAGCTAGCGTTATAATGGCCTACCACGTTTTCCTATATTTGAATCAATTGGTGGTGTATTTTAAGTCATGTAATATTTATACCCTACCTGAGAGCTAGTATCAGAGTAGTGCAGTGTTGATTGTGCCATTTCTAGTCTGTAATCTGCATGACATTTATCAAATACCCAGGGAGTCCCAATATAAATTGATTTATTGTCCAGTATCCCACTACAAGGCCAACTCTAGCATTTATATACAACACATACAGGGTATTGTTATGATTATATTGTTATATCACACAATGTTTGCTGTATTGATTCACCTGTAAAAAAAAAAATGTTAATAAAGTATGAGTTTTGGATCCTATAGCTACAAATAAATTATGGTCTTGATATACCTGGGGTATTCGAGCATATGGAAAATAAGGTCACCAGATATTTTCTTTCCCCAATAAGAAATAGAAATATATCCCATTATCAATATCTTTACATTTTTCAAATTAATACAGCATAAAGTATTTTATTTAAGAAATAAGGTATTTTTTGAGTTTTATTGGGATGTGCAATCATGTTCGGTCCATATCTTTCTGATCAAATCTTATACACAGATTGCCCGAAGGGTGTATATACCCAAGGTCATTTGGGGAACTTCAAGGTCATTTGCAAATAAAATATTTGTGTTTAATTTCATATATTGGTTTTCATTTCACACAAAGATTGTTGACCTAAGGGTGTGTCATGACCTTGACCCAAGGTTATTTGGGGAAGTTCAAGGTCACTGGAAGAAAAATTTCATAATTCGTGTCCGGTCCATATCTTTCTTATGAATAAACTTGGTAGGTTGTCAACACAAAGATTGCCCATGAAATACATGACCTTGACCCAAGGTCATTTGGGGAACTTCAGGTCATATTTCATAATTCGTTTTCCATATCTTTCCTATGGATAAACTTGGTAGGTTGTCATTTCACACAAAGATAGCCCATGAAATTTTTAACCTTGACTTATTAAAGAAGGTCACTGGAAGAAAAATTTCATAATTCATGTTTGGTCAATATCTTTCTTATGGATAAACTGGTTGTCATTTCACACAAACATTGCCCATGACCTTGTGACATGACCTTAACCCAAGGTCATTTGGGGAAGTTCAAGGTCACTGGAAGAAAAATTTCATAATTCATGTTTGGTCCATATCATGGAATATATTTCACACAAACATTGTCCATGACCTAAGGGTGTGTCATGACCTTATCATTTGGGGAAGTTCAAGGTCACAGGAAGAAAAAATTCATAATTCTTGTCCTGTCGATATATTTCTTATGGATAAACTTGGTAGGTTGTTAATTCACACAAAGATTTGACCCAAGGGTGTGTCACCCTGACCCAAGGTCATTTGGGGATTAAATTCACTGGAAGAAAAATTTCATAATTCATGTTTGATACATACCTTTATTATGGAAAAACTTACTTCAAAAACCCATGTATTATAAAGTTAATTTGTGATTAATTTCATAATATTGAAAATGTTTAAGCATGTTAATTGAAGAAAAAGTTTATACTGGGTAAACATTTGAAAAACATGCATAAAGAATAACAATAAAACATCCTTGAAATTTTTTAAAAAAGACAATGTACTGAAAAAATTTCAACAAACAATAAATATTTTACCAGGTGATGGGAATACAATTTTTTTGTGTGCAATATTTACATTTGAAATTAACACTTTTTGTAAAATGTAAATATGTGTATTACTGATGAGGTATGGCTTTTAAAAATTAATCAGGGGTTGATACTTGAACTTTTCACATACTTTTGGAAGCTGATAAAAAACTTGAAACATTCCTAATAAGACAGCCTACTGTTTGATGTCAAGTCCTTATAGGTAATACATTTATGTCTTTTGCCTTACTGATTGTTTGAATTATTCAATCTTCACTTATAGAAAAAAGTTTTGTCCTGGAAATCTTGGGAGATTTAGAGCAATCCTGGACTATAATTCACTGCTGAAGTATAACCATGTAAAAAAAAAATCGCATACAAATTATAATTGAGAATTCAGAAATGTAATTAAATCATCAGAGAGGACCGTGCTAATAGTAATAATTCTGTTTTTCAGAAGCTGCAACGAGTGAAGATATAAAAGAGCTGTCCGATGCCAAGAACCTAATTGCTCATCTTTACTCAACAATGAATGTCGAACAACATCAGATAGAGAAAGAGAAAGAACTCCTGCAGAAACTAGAAAACCTCAAACTAGAGTTACTTCCCATGGAAAAAGTACTTGGATTAATTACTATATATCTTAACTAACCAGTACTTTATTTTTTAGAAACTGGTGATATCTTTTTCTCTGATATTATATGAAAGAGAAACTTAATTTTTTAAAGATTACATGTATAACAGTCCAAGACAAAAATTTAATTAACTATGTAAAACTTATCTTTGCAGCAAATGGATACACTAAATGCCATGGCCAAGCGCCGTACAGAGATTTTATCCTGGGCGGGTCTGGCTGCTATGGGGATACAGTTTGGGTTCCTGGCCAGGCTGACATGGTGGGATTATTCCTGGGATATTATGGAACCTGTCACGTACTTTGTGACCTATGGAACAACCATGGCCATGTTTGCATACTTTGTTCTCACTAAACAGGTGACAAATGATTTTTATTATGTCCTGCCATGAAAATAGTTGGAGCATACAGATTTTGTCATGTCCATCTTCTGTCCTTCTGTCCCTCCATGCTGCTTTGCATTTAGCTCAGTTCAAAGATCAGTTTCAAAGAAACTCTTCAAGATATTTTTTATAAAACTTCCTAGGCTGTTAGTTATTGATGAGAGATATTCAACTGCATCAACATTTTCTTTTACCTTTACCTTTCCTTTGACCTCCGTTTTCTTAAATTAGTGTTTAGCTCAGTTTTGAAGCATTTCCTTCTACACTGACCTTGCACCTTTTTTTACAATTTCCTCTGACCTTGACCTCAATTTCCTTAAATTAGTGTTTAGCTCAGTTTTAAAGACTCTATTCAAGAGAGTATGATCAAACTTAATATGCTGATACATATTAGTAAGAGCTATTCAACTGCATCAAAAAACTTTTGACCTTGCACTTACATGTAACGTTGACCTCACTTGTCTTTCATTCCCATTTTGCTCAGTTTTTAAAGACACTATTCAAGAAATTATAATCAAACTTTATATGCTGATACATATTAGTAAGAGCTGTTCAACTGCATCATAAACTTTTGACCTTGCACTTACTGTGACTTTGACCTCACTTGTCTTTAATATACATTTTGCATAGTTTTAAAGAAACCATTCAAGATATTGTGAAACACTGATGTCCTCATATGGCAGCGTATGGCAAAAGTTTAAGTTTTTTTTCAAAATGCAAGTCAAGTTCCAAGGTCAAGGTCAAAAGATCAAAAAATGTGTTGTTACCCAGACAGGACTTCTGTCAATGAAAACTGTGAATAACTAATTTCTGGGATGGATTAATTTTCATTGTTTTTAAGGCACGGAAAGACCCACAAATTTATGACCACCACAAAATTTTAAAATTTCATTTGCTTTTTACTTACATGTAACATTCTCAAACCATGAAAACAAGTCCCCACAAAACAATATTTTCCCCTCAAACCTCAAAAATTTGACCCCATGAAAATATGTGATTTTACAGTAATGTATACTTGTGAAATTAAAAAAAAAAAAAAAGCACCAAATATTTGAAAGTTTTGTCCAAGGTTAAAGTTTTTAAGATGTGGGTCAAATTGAAAGGCCTGAAGGGTCAAAGAATCAAAATAAATGGTGCCCAGAAGAATGTCTTGTCAAAAGAAATTCACATCTGAAATCTTAAGAACTAGCACCAACTATTCCAAAAATATGGCAAAGATATAAGTTTTTCAGAAATGGGTCGAACCCCAAAGTCAAGGTCAAAAGATCAAAGTTTTTGGTATCCAAAGGTAGGCTTTTTCACATGAAATACATCTATGAAATATAAAAGTCGTAAAACTAAAAGTAAATAGTTAAGGCAAACGTTAAAGTTTTTAAAAATTGAATCAAACTCTAAGGTCAAGGCCAAAAACATCTACACCACCAACTGTTCAAAAGTTATGACCATGGTTAAAGTTTGGAATTTTTTTTTGCAAAGTGGGTCAAACTTTAAGGTCAATAGGTCAAATAAATTGGTACCCAAAGGAAGGTCTTGTCACAAGGAATGCACTTGTGAAACATGAAAGCTATAGCTCCAACCAATCAACAGTTATGAGAAAGGTTAAAGTTTTTGTGGACAAACAGACAGGGCAAAAACTTTTTATCCCTAAATCTTCGATTACAAACAAAAAGAAAGCAAAATAGGCTCTTAGTTTCTTATACTAATATGCTAAAATTGCAAAAGCTTAGAAATGCAAAAATTGTTCAAGGGACAGGGTTTGTGTGAGGTTAGGGGGTCAAAGTTGCATAGAAAATATCTGCAAGAAATGTACAGGTTCAATTTATAGATTTGAAAATTATGTTGATTGTGTTTTATCAACAAAGGTTATCTTGAATGTGATTTTGAATGCTGAAGCTCATGAGCCTCTCACTATGACTTAATTAAGTGTAAATGCTGGTTTGTAAAGAATATTCTTGCTTAAGCAGGAAACCTCACTAAATTCCAGTCATAATCTTTTGTAAAACTTGCAAAATCTAGAGTAATGTAACTGATCTTCATAAACTAATAACCTGATATGGAACATTTACTTGTAGGAGTACAACTTTGTGGAGGTAAAAGATCGACAACACTTGCTCTCTGTACACGGCAACGCAAAGAAGACAGGACTCGATGTAGCTAAATATAATGAACTGAAGGAGGCCACCGCTAAGCTTGAGTATGATATCAAACGGCTGAGAGACCCCTTACAGCTCCATGTACCAATGATGGACCCACCAAAAACACTGAAGTGAAGACTCTCTAGTACAAGAGTAACATGGCATTAACTAACTAGAAGATTGCATTGGTTAGGTTGGGTTAAGATTTAGTCTGTTCAATTAACATAGGTGTATACAACTTGTAGTCTTTCTCTTTTTTTCCCTCTATAAACTTAACAGATTTATTGAGATTTGAACAATTTTTTATTGGATCCTTACAAAAAAAAATCAAATTACTAGTATATTGAATAAGTTAATATTATGCTCGCCAGGTCCTTTCACTGAACAGAACTAAACCCTATTGTGTTGTTTACCACCAGAAAGAAGTATTTTATTTATTGAGCCCTAAAGTGTTAAAGAAAGTAGATGCAGCAAAACAAGGTCAAAGTATCAACCCTTTTTGTAATTTTTTTTTTCCAAAGACCTTGGTTTTTCAAGGTTATTATAGTTGGTGAGCAAAGTCAGATCAAATCCCCAAATCAAGAAAAAATCACAAGGTTTAAAGAACAAAAAATTGAATATAAGAGATTGTAGGCAATGATAAGGTCATTACGAAGCAGTAGCGTTCTGTCTGGGCAGCCACTGTGCAATTTTTGTTCACTAGTCACTTGATGGCCAGTTCTAAAATTTATAATGAGAACAGAGACATTGGTAAGAATTTCGATAATGCCTGCTGAATGAAGACAATCTCAATATTAATGCAGTGAGAACATTTTGTGTCCCATCAGTTTTCGTCAAGTTTTCGCCTTCCACTGATGGCCCCTGATTGTGTTACAGTTGTCAACAGTAATTCACTGCCTACCACCATTGTAAACATCATAACTAAAATAACTCGAGCTTCTTAGATTTTCAAACATTTATGCATTCAGTGAGGGAGCTCCAGCAACACAAAACAAATTGCAAAAAACAAATTGCAAGTCTTCACTTAATTAATGTAGAAGGGCAAGAAGATCAAATGACAGAAAGATTTGGAGAAACACTGGTTTAATTTGTACATTGAAGAGGAATTAAATTATTTAAAATAAGAATGTGCACATGTTTTGATTCAATGCATTTATTACAAAGCCACTGAATTTCATAAATTTAACTTTTAGTTTGTTTCTAAAATGATTCATTGAAATTTTCTCAACCTCTTTTACATGTATTGCTTAAAAACTCTCTACTTAGATGCTACAATAAATACTTCATCACCAAGATTTGACTGTAAGGTTAATAGCTGGAAAATGTTCCTCCAATTTTTAAGATTTCTGTACTTCAAAGTTTTAATATACATGTATATATATTAATGTCACAAACAAATTGTACATTTGAAAGTAAAGTTACATAAGAGTTCACTTTCATTCATTTCCTATGATTTTATAACCTTTTCCATGATATAGTGCTATCCATCTGTTTATACTGTAAAATTTATTCCATGCTTCCATTTTGTTTTAGTTTAAAACTTGCTTTACATTGTATTTATATTAAGTTTATATCTTGTTAGCATTGTTAATTGTTTACCCAGAATATGAATTCAGATGATATAATATGTACTTACTGCTGTAAGGGTACAAACACAAAATTTTATTGCATATTATAATCGATTATTTAGGTAGGTGGGATATATATAACTAAAGAAATGTTCTTTCATAGCTGTTTTTATATGAGCACAGAATGATTTTTGTTTGGTTATTTCTACATTTGTAAAGTTGTAACTCACTTTACCTCTATAGCAGTACATATCATAATATCATATTACTGAAGTGTAATGCTGCATAAGTCTTTAAAACTGAATTAAGTTTTAAATTATTTTGCATTTCTTGGAAGTGAAAAGTAGGTCAAGTTAATGACCAGTGGACGAGTGTAGCAATGGTTTTGTAAAGTAGTCCTAACATGCACAAATACCAATTACTTCAGAATCTGCACAATTGTGAATGAATTCAACACAATGTGATACAAAATGAGATATTTTTCTACACCCCTTTATCTCCTGTCCCCGTAGTTTATGTATACAGTAGATCCTCCTTTGGGAGAGTCCCTATTGCTTAATTGTAAGTTTTTTCCTTGTTATGCAATACATCATGTAGGACTTACCCCGGTTTATTTTTAGCTCCGTTAATTTTTCTTTTCTAGTAGACCAAGACCATTTGTTATTATTTATTTCTGTTTGTACCATTTGTTGGGATGACCTGTTTTCACCCCAGTAAGGACCACTTGCACTTCAACATCTTAGGGCCAAAAAGTTTTATGTTTTTTATCTGAAATACCATTACATATAATAAAATAGCAAAATTCAGAAAGAATTGAGCATTTAAGTCAGAGAGCATTTTCCTTGACAATGTACTGTAGTTCAAAATAAAAGTTTAAATAGTAGAAAATGTGTTAAAATGTTTGTAAACATGAATCATTTTTACTCCCTTTAAAATTATTTGAAGATACTTGCTTTTGATGTGAACAAAAAAGCAGCATTTCTTTTATTCAGATATGACTGAGAAGTTACAGAGATTATTGGTACAGGGATGTTATTGGGGTGAAAACAGTACTTGTGATAATCATTATTTTTCGTTAGATATTTATGCACCTGATTCCCTATGGTGATGTCTTTACATTTTCCTGGGGTAATTCTAGAAAGATTTCTTTATATATACACTAGTGTCTCTTATTATTTGTCCTTCAAGTGTAAGTATCAGTTAGGACTTTTTATATTAAAAATTTTGAACAATGAATCTTTGTTTAGATTAATTATTTTAAAATCCAATTTTAGTTGCCCTTGTGGCGCTTTGGTTAGAGCATCTGCTCCAAGAGTTGCGAAGTAAGGAGTTGATCCTTACGTCGGGGGTTCAAATCCCACTGTGGGACATGGAGACTGATCATTTGGATGAGCCTGTATAAACCGAGGTCCCGTGTTGCAGTATATCCTGGCACGAACAAGATCCCTCCCTGCTCAATGGCCCTGAGTGTAGAGTATACAACAAAATTTGCAGCTCTCCAACGGCAAGTGGTGGCATCTCCATATGAGTGAAATTCTTGAGAGGGATGTTAAACAACACACACACAATCCCCTATTTTACTTGGAGTGCTTTGGTAATCCAAGCAAATTATGTTTTCCTAAGATCAAAACATATTGTGTTTGCCTTGTCCTTAAACCATTCAAATTTTTAAATATCACTGCATTATGATGTAGACAGTCAACTCATCTTTAAAGCTGAACATGATTCACAAACAGAATATGTTCACCATTTTCAATCGGACTCTCACTCTATCTGAGGACCCCTATATAAAGGGCCTGATTAGTCAACGTTCATTGTAATCAATTGACAGCTATGTTGATTGATGTACATGTATGCTATACGGCACTCAGTAGATATAAAAATAAATGTTATACTTGTTCTAATGCCGAAAAGTAAGACACCAAAGAAACTTACAATACAATGTAGTTGAACAAGTCAGTGCTGTATACAAACAAACAATAATAACAACAACAAGCAATAAAATGTAAACAAAGGTAATGCAAGATAACCACCATGAACACGGAAGAAATATCAAGTTTGAATTTTTTTCATATGGATGGAATATTCTTTTTAACAGTCACTGTATAATATTGTATATATATAGTTTGAGCTGTATTGACTGCTGATGTCAAAGTTGGGCTGGGAGGCTCAATGGTTAGAGCAACTGACTGGTAATGCTAGGTCAGTTTAAAATTTTCTTCTGTCTGGTTACATTGTCCGAATATTGGCTAGCAAGTGAAAATCCTGTTCAGGACTAAAAAATTTTGCTTGCATTTGATTATTTTACTGTAAATCACTAAATTTTCGGCTAGCAAGTGTCATTGATTCTTTATAAGCGAGACAAAATTTTCACGAATTGTGGTCACTGCTCTATATAATCCTAAGGAATACTATTAAACGCAAAATTTTTCGCAAGCATACTGCATTTGATAAAAAGTGATTTACAGTATATTTAAGGAGGGAGGAATGTGGTGATTAAGATTATATAGAATGTGGATAGTGGTCTCAAAATCTCTGTGGTTTGAGCACCAGATTAGTAATCCTGAGGTTTCAGGTTCGAATCCCAGTCCAGGTGTAAATTTTATTCTTCTCCGTTAGTTATACAACTGCTCTAAGAAGGGACATAACTCTTATCAACTCTGAAACTGAACAAAATAGTGTATTAAAATTACCATGAAGTCTGAATTTACAGTTATACGACTCTTAATCTGCATTTGTTCCAGTATTTGTTCCAATTCATATTTTTATCCTACGATGATAAAAAAGGCTTTTGTAACCCTAATAATGACTGAGATGTTAAAATGCACTCTATCTTTCTCCCTTTTCTAATACAGCTTTACTGAAAAAGTGTCAAATTTGATCCTTTAATATATAAAAGCAGCTACTTTTCCTGCAACACAACCATAAGCAGCTTTTCTGAACATTGATTCAGAAGTATAAAACATTTTCCACAAAGGCAAACAAACTTTAAAAAAGAAAAGAGTAAAGTATTATTTCCAATTTTGTCCATTTTAATTTCATTCATAAAACAAAGAATTAAAAGAGCAAAACATTTTACATGTATTTGAAACTGTAAAACATTTGAACAAGACTATATGACATACACAGCACATCCTAACAATGGTTTCTGATGCCAAATTATCACTCAATTCACTATGCTCTCTGCTCTCTAAATGCAAAAGCTTATTTACAAAATTATAATGACAGATTCATAAATAATCTGATACAATATTCCCAGGAATTGATTGCATTTGAGCCAGACTCAACATTAAATCTACTGACTTAGAATCATACCTGGTAAGATATTCATTCTGTATTTAATACATTAAAAAAAGTTTTTAATGAAGTGTATCCAATAGTGGTGTTATGAAGTTCACTTTGTACATCATGATTTTAGATTTATCTGACAGTTAATTCAAGTATTACAATTGTTAAGTATTAAATAAGCATGGAAAAGTATTTACAATGTTTGTGAAGTTCCTCACTATAGTACCAAGCTGCAAGGCTTTATACAAAGACTACTGAAATACATCCATAAGAAATCCATGTATTAGAGGGAGGGCTTGTTTACAAATTATCCTCCTTAGGTGCATTTACAGTGGAACCTCAGATTACCGTATGCTTCAGCATCCGGAATTATATTGTCTTGTTTATCTGGTGATTCAGGTATCTTCACATATATGGACAAATTGACAAAATTGTATTCGACAGTGTACCTATAAATCAAAATTTTGAGTCAAACCCTGGTGACATACGTTTTACACAATCAGTTTTCTAGAATTAATTTTTCTTAACATATGGACAATTATCTAGAACTTTGTGCATAAAAGGATTTCTCTACATGAAAAATAATACACATTTCTACAGGGACCAGATTTTTCTTTCTAGGTTTACAAAAAAAAAAAAATGCACCAAAAATGAAGTAAGAAAAAAAATATGAAGAAAAAAATAACCTTCACCTTTTTCAAATATGATAAGAATATTAAAGTTCTTTTCTCTTTCATTGCTGCTCTTTAGAGGTTTTGGAAAAGAATAATAGTGACAACATCGAGATAAGCACCTTATGACTAGCTTTTAAATGGCAAATTATCTCATATTTCCCAAAATCAATCTAGAATTTTTTGACATTTTTATTGAATTTTGACCTCACTAGTTTTACTTTTGTACAAAAATAACAAACATACACCGACTGAACCCATTTAACCAACACTTTCATACATGTACATATATTAATGATGTATGATAACTATGCAATACACATACTATGCTTTTAATGCAGAAAATGCCAATATGTCTTCTTATCATAATTTTTGTAACCTGAATAATGGCCGGACATTTGAGTTATTTCTGATGACTTGGCATTGACTTCTCTCTCAAAATGTCCTGCTTCTTGCTTCCTGTACGATGACCAACATAGAAATAGTTTATACCCAGAGCCCATACTAGTTCATTAAGCTGGTAATGATATCTTCTTTCCTTTCAGCACTGAAAAATAAGAAAGAAGAAATAGGGTATCAGCATCATGTGCAAGTTGAGTACAATAATTTTTTTTATCTGTCCTCTCCGTTTACAGGTCATGAGGTGTATAATAGGAAACCGTGCTTTAAGAGCATCTCACATAGGAAAAGAAATTAAAAATGCTGAGGAATTTTAAGTTATTTCATGTACAATTAGTATGCACGAGGTTTCATAGAAATAAAGTTTGAGAAGTCTATGTGAAATAATTTAGGAAATAATATTTGAGCAAAGAGATAGAGCAGAAAGTAGAGATGCAGGATTGTCTAGATCATCTTCTAAAACTATTTCTTCTAAAGAAAGTGTCCTTTTGGTATATAGATCCAATGAAATCAATTTTTTCCTATACACAAGTTTGACTATGCATGTATCACCAAAGCTGTACAAGTTTAAATAAATGAATAAAAGGAAATGGAAGTAAAAATAAAATTCCCACACCATTTTAAGCTCCTAACATCTGCTTTACATTCTTAGAAATGGAAGGTAAAATTACACAAGATATTCACACGATTTCTTTGTGCATCTTGAGAGTTTTGGATTAAATAAGTAGCCTAGTCTAATTGTACAATTTTTATCCCCTAAACTGAATGTAAACCAGTTGTTTTTAAATCATGCACAAAAGGTCCATCATAAGCTATACACACAAGAAATGGTGTGAGTACCTGATCTACACATCCAACAGGGGCGCGGAGTCCTTGAATACGATCTCATTATTTGTAAACAGAAGTGAGCCCTTTCCTGAAAGTCAGAAAAGTACTTTACCTACCTTTATATACATATAAAAGCCTTAGTACTATGTCAAGTCTTGTATGATTTTGTGTGTATTAATACCATTATAAGACTTTAATTTGATTAATTGTTATGAAATCTTCCACGGGGTAAAAAAAACATGTATATTTTGAAGTATTCAAGTTTAAATATGGGATAATAAATCTCAGGTAAGCAAAGCAGAAATATTTTTTATCACTTTTTGAATATTTCATTCAACATGCATTGCTAACATATCAAGGCATATAAAGGCCATGTGTAAGCATGAACACATTACCGAGAGTACTGTCGATAGGTCAAAGAAGCATCATGGTCACAAAGGAGAAATGGGCCTAGGATCAATACCTACCCTTAGTTATATACAAGTAGAAGAAATCACAATATAATATGGTCTGCACAACCCCAGCTACTACAGCAATAAGGTCAAAGAATCCTTCAAAATAGTATCTGTAAATCCAGTTTAGGAGGTAGAGAGCCCGGTACGAGCCCAGGGCGAACAGGTAGTGGCTGGTGATGGTCTCCGCTTCGCCGGTCTTACTGACCATGAACAGCTGGGGAAGGATGGCCACAGATTCCAGGTAGATGGAGAAGGTCCACAAGATCTACAATGTAGCCAAGGTCGATAGAAAGTTGTCAAAATAATAAACAATAGTCAAAATTGCAATTTCATTGTGTAGTTTGGTTGTAGATAACTTTAATCTGAAGTCAATGCAGTTTTTCAAGTCTTAAATCACTGCAATATTACTTAATACTATATAAAGTATATTCTTACTACTGATACGTAATAATCAATATTTAGTGGCTTAATGATAATCTATGAATGTTACAATGCACTGGTCAATTTTTGGGAGAAGATTTTCATCTTCATCTAGTTTTTAAGATATGATAATGCACTTTAAAACAGCTGTAAAGGTTGACCCTCCCTGCAAATGTTAATCACTGATCATTCTGAATGAGTGAACAAAGCAATGTACCTCCAAGGGAGCAAACTCATGATTGACAAGGAAGGCTAGACCTCCAACTGGTACGATCAGGAACTCCACACGGAAAGTATCGTGGTTACTGTCATATGTGGCCTTGAACTTGTGGAACATCAGGAACAAAGTGAAGTAGGAAGCAGCGATGAAGAAAACCTTCATACACGTGTTATAGATTGACACAAATGATGTAAATAAATCTAGGTATCTCGTGGTGAATACTAAGGCAAACAAAATCTGACTCTTTCCTGATATTCCTATAAAGAAAATAAAAACAACAAATTAGTGCATAGAAAAAACCATGATGTAGAAAATGCTTACAGGGATTTATATGAGAAGTTATTGCAGTGAGTGACATAAAGCACATACAATTTAGCACTGCAAGCTTTAAGGATAATGCCTGGAGAAAAAGAAAATTCACTCTGAAGAATGGTTCAACAGGATTTCTTCCAGATTACACTTGGTATTCATAACCTTCCATGAATTGCATGGCAATTTCATGACTGACTGTCTTATTCTTAACTATTTTTTCAGATTAAACAATTAAAAGGTAACAAAAACTAGAGGTAATGTGAGAAATTAGCCCACTAAATGATAACCCTCACCTCCCATATGGACATGGTTAATGGCAAAGTCCATGTTTTGCTATGGGAGACCCGAAATAAGTGTCATATCAATAAGTAAAACAGGAGGTGCAGAATGTCATTATGTTATAAAGAATCTGTGAAAGTCTCATTTAATTTCATTCAGTGGAAAAAGAGGAGTTGTGGAAAAGAGATGGGTACTTCAAAGCATAACCGACAGATGAATGTACAGACAGATGGACAGACATTCCCATCACTACCAGTATATACTCTCCCACTTTTCAATCATGGGGTTATAAAAAGCCTTTCTTTCATGGAAATTATAGATATATAGTTAATAAAATGCTCCTTAATAATTTTTTGCACTTTTTACTAGACTAAAATAAATTGAAATGCAGCTGACTACAACTTGACATCATAATCATTATCCACAATATATATGTCATTTATAATACCATGCAATTTGATTGATTGGTTGTATGTTGTTCTTAGTCCCATTCTAGAATTTATCACTCATAAAAAGATATCACTAAACAGGGACCAACCTAGACCAAAAATTTAGGGAGACTTCACTTCTCCCTCAGAGAAATTTAGGGAGAAGTTTTGGATTTTAGGGAGACTTCTTGGCGCGTGCCGCGCACATTAATCATAATTATTAAACTTTTTAAAAATAAAATTATTTCATTGTTTATAACTTATTAATAAATACATTTCAATAATCTTTCTGTATTAACATCATATCAAAAATAATTAAAAAGAGAAAAAAAAATTTTAAAACAATTTTTAAAAAATATTTTTCCAATTACAAAGTATAAAATTATCTGACCCCAAAAATATTCAACAATATCATAAGTTTCTTATTGATAAACTTGTTTATCAATTTTTTTTAATTTCTTGCATAGTATGCACAATTAACTTTAATATTCTCTCTTATTATTTTAGATTTTCAGGCTCTTTTCATTGTAATATTTTTTTTATTTTCTCTTCAAAATTTATTTTCAATCTTAAACTCTTTTTCTAAAAAAAGTTTTTATGCACTACTGCATGTAGTATCCATGCGAACTACTTGACTGTGTGTATTAGCATGATTAGACGTGTAATTTCTTAGACAGTTAATAACTCCACAATATAAGCCTAACAGTAAAAATATGTCTGTATTCACAGCATGAATGAATTATTTGACAATAAAAAGATCTAAAATCTTCTCCAACATCTTTGGTACGACATCGATAGCTGTCCAGCTGTTTTGCGTCTTGTTGTGTACAACTTGTAACAATGGACTTTTACATACACGGAAGCGTAAAATCTAGAGGAGTTCCGACAGAGTATTTGATGGCTTGGTCATCAGTAGCAAAACAGGTGCAAGTGTCCTGCTGTTTCGCTTATTTCATCAGTAATAAAACCAGATTTATACAATACTGACGATTCTACCATGTTTCTTAATAGATTTTTAATGATTCTCAATAAAGGAATTGCAAATGTTAAGGCGACTTAAACTTCGCTTTCATGATAATTTACGGCGAAGTTTGGAGCCAAAAAGCGACTATTTCGCCTCAGTCGCCCCCTAGGTTGGTCCTTGACTAAATACTCGTGTAGGGCTTCAAATTCTGACCTTCACTTGCCTCTCAGTTGTTACCCATTTTTTTATAAACCAAGGTCAGTCGCGACTGAGATTCAAACTCACAACCTTCCTATCACGGAGAAAGCGCTCTACCGACTGAGCTACTGTAAACAGTTACATGCAATTTGAAGATTCCGATCTAACTTCAAAGTGTTAATGTATAGAAAGGGTTTCTCATGACAGGCAGCAATAATACTGAATATTGCACTCACTCTAATTGCTTGACTACAGAAACATACCTTTACACCTTAACTTTTTAAAAGTTTTTAAAAGATTTTAAAACTAAGGTATGCGACACTTTCTTCCTTTATGAAGAATTTCAAATTCAATATATATTTCCCCTTCACAACCAATAAAGCTACACAAAAGGAGTAGTTTTCAACAGATGACTCAGTCAATATTGGAAAAATCTGTTCATTATGTCCCCCAGTGTAACTAATTGCATCAATAACAATCTGTCAAATTCAAAAAGCTTTACAATCGGATATATCCACTTTTATTAAAACACATTGGAGGCGTTTGGTTATACCTACTTAACAAAACAAATACCTAACTGAACTACAATATTTTAAACAAATATGGACGCACTTCAAATGACAGGAATTTCCTGAACTGTGCATAATGCTAACATCTTTATACAGCTGACCTAAACACATTTACGAGAACTGATACTTTATTTTTTTTACATTGAAACTCCATATTGTTCTCTTCTGTCACACAGTTTGAGAAGCCAGGCAGTGCCAGTCTGAAGTTGTGCAGTTTGCACGCCAAATTCCAAAACAAACCAACTCACCTGCTACGGAACGAGTTTTCCACATCTTGATCAGCAATATTACTATTGCCAATAAATGGGACATATCCCCGATTAACCTGAAAATATTCATTTTAGGGGAATATCTGTCAGTCGCCGGTATGTGTGTTTACACGTTTGAAGAACTATGGCGAATGCGACGTGGCCCGAACTGCTTTGTGGGTAATTTGGAGCAAACCGATCCCGATTCATAAACTTCCGGGTGTTACGTGGAGCTATCAGGGATGCAAATGTAGAGTCTGAGAAAAGCTAAAACGCTTTTTTTTTGAAAATAAGAAAAAGTAGAATTTCACAAAAAAATATTTTTCAAGACTTGTAAAATATGATCTCATTTTTAAAATATTGAATGTGGATAACCATGATAACGTTAAAATTATATGTATGCTGACAGAAGCTAGGATGTGTTTAGCCTCTGGCTAAACAATGGTCCAATTAACATAGAAAAAAAATCATTAGCACCCTTATACACACAAGCTTAATATTTCTAAATCTTCCTATAAGAGAACAACCTTGTTTATTTATTAATATCTCAAAGTCACATATAATTCATTTTCATTTTATGTGTATTTTTTTCAACATGCCAGAAAACAAGCAATGTTGATTATGCCTTTAAGCATGCTAAGTAGGTATTATAAATATGGAATTATTTAATAAATGAGATTCTTTTAGTAGGAAATCCTTTTTTTAAACGCCTTAATATTCATCAAGAAAACTGGCCTTTAATTCAACAAATCCAATTTTATGAAGTATAAAATTCACATTTTTTATGGAATTTAAAATATTCTTATTTATTATGGATTTGAAACATTAATACGTGCCTAGAAGCCACTCATACCCATATCTACATACCCAGTCGTCTTATTTAAGATAATTGTTTAAGATAAATATATCAATAGAATTGTAATAAACTAAAATAGATATATATATACATGTAATTGATAAAATAATTAAAAAAATGAATAAGTAAATAAATAAATGAATAAAATATAAAAATAAAAAAAAACAAACAAGTTAATTCAGAGAATTTGTGATCCCCGCTTAGGTGAAGAAGAGTATAAAAAGGAATTCATTTATAAGCAAAAGTAAAAAATAAAGCAACATTGTAACCTAATATCATGTTGTAAAATTTGAATTTACTAGAGGGGAGGTAAATTCAAAATTTGCAACATGATTCTAAGATATCGCCCATAGCTCGATTGTTTTAAATTCAAACAAACAAACTGAAGTATTAAAAAAAAATCTGTCATCGCTAATCTGATAAAAATAAGATCCTATATATGCTCCTTTTTAAAGGATATGTCGCTTATGAGGTTCGTATTACCGACATATCGTTAAAGAATGAGCATCGAGGATCTGATTTTTATCAGATTGTGTATCAGATTGTGTCATCGCCAGTTAAAGCAAGATTACTTAGATGAACTTTCCCATCGCAACTTTTCATAATTTGAAAAGTACAATCTCTGTATACAAATGATTTATTTCTTTTCATTGTCTATTTTTATTTGTACCTCAATGACATGTAAATTCGAATTATCATAAGATTTTAAATGAATGAGCATGGAATACAATGCATTACTAACTACAGAACACAGACACTTGTTTCGGAAATAAATTGTTAACCCGTACTATATACTACGGGTTAAAAATTTACTTTCGAAAAAAGTGCATGTGCTACAGAATACGTTTGAGTTGTCTTTCGTAAGACGTTAAAAATTCAGAAAATAACTCGCATTGGCTATATAAAATTGTAATATTTGTAAAGGTGAACATGTTGTTTTTGTGATACACAGTCTTCCGCATGACAATTCAAGGCGAAGGTTAGTTTCTCAATCAAACTCCAATTCAAAGTCATGATATCAAAAGGGTTGGTATCCAAAGTACGGCCTTGCCACAAGGAATGCAGTTGTGAAATATGGTATAACTCTAAAATCAACTGTTCCAAAGCACAAGACAGAACCCACCCCTCCTCCTCCCCCTTGGATTAACCCCTAGGTCTTTTCGCCATTTTTCTCATAAATTATTTTTCAATGACATATTTCTGATAAAATTTATTCAAACAATTAAAAAAAAATTACCTAAAACAAACGTTTTATAAAATCTACCCTGCATTCTATATTTAAGGAATAACTGTCTTATTTTTCGATTTCAAAAATCAATAATTTGCATAAACGCCGAAGGCGTTTATGGGCAAGCAATCGATTGATCATCTTTTTGAAAAATAATAAATTTATGCTTTGATTCCGCCAATCCACGTGCTCCAAGCCCTGCTTCTGTCTATTTTGTCCCGCCCTGAACGTGGTTTTTTTTGGAACTGCGCCAATACATTGATGGAGATAAAGTACATTTACATTTGGTAATTTTATCTCGGACAAAGACATTGAAAATGTAAATATTTAAAAATCAACTAGAGTGGGACAGAAATTTTTTTTAATAAAATGTTTGTTTAAGCAAATTTTCTGAATTGATAGGATAGATTATAATTTATGTGAAAAAAGTCAAATAGGTCCGAGGGTTCTATATCGGGGTTGGGGGTGTGTGGTGGTTCCCGTTCTCAAACACAGGTCTGTGTTCCAAAGAAATGGCTGAGCGTTGAAGTTTCTTAAAAGAAGACCAAACTAAGGTCAAGGTTAAAAGTGTTAGTACGATCTACCAAAGAATCCAGTCTGCTAAACGTTGTGTGATGCGTCTAGTGTGTTGGTGTTGGTGTCTGTGTGCTTGTCACTTCTCGCTTTCAGCCCTCACCGCTGGCTAGCAGCAATGCGAAAAGGGAAGCAATTTGTAAGTCTTCCCCTGCCAGTACATAGCCTCTCCACATCAAGTTCTATGTGATGCCCCTACGTGGAAGCAGATGGATACTGGGCACATTTCAGCCCCAGGCTAACTTCGAAAGGGCGCACGGGAAGATGAGGCTCGAAAGCCTTGGTCGGCAACTCATCTAGGAGAAAAAAACTCTGATTACAATCCGGATTTAGTAGGAGATCGTTAGCAACTACATGTACTATGTTGGCCCCCAGACATAGACTTGGAGGTTAGACTTGAGGCTAATCACCTCCTGTCATAAAAAACAATTGATTACGGAAACCGTTACAACAATTAGTACCACTGAAGGAAGGGCAAGCGCGATGCGAGATTCCAGATGAGGATTACCTTCATTGGGAATTCGAGAGAATTACGACAATTAGGAAAAGCTGAGAGGACCCTCACGACCTGAAAAGAACGCAGACGCCATCCATAACAACACCTAAAAATATCACCAAGATCGGATGTTGGAACGTAAGAACAATGTTCTAGATTGGAAAAACAGCTAACATCGTAAGAGAGTTTAACAGATATAAGTTGGACATAATGGGACTGAGCGAAGTGAGATGGACAGGCTTTGGTGAACTAAAGACAGCCGCTGGAGAGACCATCTTGTACTCTGGAGCTGAAGAACATCTTAGAGGATTAGGACTTAGCAGGAAAAGCCGAAAAATCGTAATGGAATGGAATCCCGTTAATGACAGAATCTACAGCGCACACTTTTTCCTCCCGCTTTGCTAAGTTAACAATCATACAGCTGTACAACTATACAGCCCAATAAACGAAGCAGGCGAAGCGGACAAGGACACCTTCTATGAACAGCTTCAAAGAGAGATTGCAAAAGTGCCAAAACACGACATACTGATGGTAATGGGTGATGCAGATGCAAAAGTCGAATGAAGGATGGGAAAGAGTCATCGGACAAGAGGGCATTGGGGTTATGAATGAAAATGGCATGAGGTTAGCGGAAATGTGTGCTCTTAATAACTTAATCATCTGCGGAACCCTCTTTAAGCACCTTGACATACACAAGCTTATATGGGAGTCCCATAATGTAAGAGTCAGGAACCAAATTGACCATGTAATGTTGAATGGCAGATACAAGAAGTCTGTATGTGATGTAAAGGTTATGCGTGGTGCAGATATGCCAATTCAGATCACCATGTAGTACTGGCTAAAGTAAAGATGAAGCTCTGCAGAAACTTAAAGCTAAAGGAGAGCAACAGGAAGATGTAAGGAGTAGATTTCAGCAACTGGCTGATGACGAAAACACAATCAATGAAAAATGGACTCTTGTAAAAGAAGCATATACATTTGTAATAAAACAGCAGAAAAGATTCTGAGCCAGAAGAAAAGGAAGCACAAAGACTGGCTTACTTCAGAAACTAACAGAGCCATAGATGAAAGAAGAAAACTAACTGAAGAAATGGGAAGATCGAATTCGGAGAGAATAAAGGAAATTAAGAGACAAAGAAGTGAAAAGAAGAGCAAGAGCTGATAAAAGGAAAAATCTGGAAGATGTAGCAAACCAAGCAGAGAATTCAGCAAATACAAACCGTCTGAGTGAAGTTTACCAACTGACCAAGCAGCTTTGCGGGAGAAAAAGAAACAGGACAAGTGGCATAAGGTCCAAGAATGGTGAACTAATCATTGAGGATGGAAAAATATTGGAGAGATGGAAAGAGCATTTTGAAGAGGTCCTTAATATCCCAACAGAAACAACAAAATTACCTGTAGGATGCACCATCCAAGAGAACAGAATTGAAGAAATTTACACAACACCAATAAGAGAGGAGGGTTAAAAGGCAATCCAAAAAATGAAGAATGGACAGAGTCCTGGCATAGATAACATCAATGCGGAGCTACTAAAGGAGAACGTAACATATTCAACATCAAAGCTTACAAACTTATTCAACAGAATCATCAGTGAGCAAGAAGTACAAACAGACTGGAAGAGATCGCTCATCGTCAAAGTACCTAAGAAAGGAGATCTGACAATATTTGACAAATATAGATTAATATCACTACTATCAGTGCCATCTAAAGTATTTTGCAGAATAGTGATTGAGAGAATTAGAGATGGATTAGAGGACAGACTAAGACCAGAGCAAGCTGCATATCGAAGAGGAAGAGGAACATCAGAACAGATTTACATTCTAAGAAATATTTTAGAACAATCTATAGAGTGGCAATCACCACTGTACATAAGTTTCATAGATTTTAAAAAAGCCTTTGACAGCATAGTAAGAGAGAAACTGTGGGACATACTAAAGCAGTATGGAATTCCGGGCGTGTATGTGGATATCATCAAGAAATTATACGATGGAAGTTCTAGTTGTGTCAAAGAGAACGGGAGAACAAC